CCCCCCCCCCCCCCCCCCAAGTGCCTCACGTAATACTCGAACTGCTCATGGACAGTAAATTTTGTTGTCCGGGAATAGTTCGACAACATTGGAGTTTTGATACGGCGTTTTTGGTTAGGACGATGTAGAGTACCTGTATAGCGAGAGTATGGACAGATGTGAAACTCCGAAAATCCATCAGGCCTTCACCGATGGTTCTGCGAATAAAGTTAGGGCCCAGAAATGCAGCCAACCTATGAATTTCAATTATCCAGAACGATTTACTAATACTATTGTTACGAACCGTCGTTTATTAAGCACGTGTTTGACTCAGTTTTTGCATAAATTTACTCAATTTCGCGGAAGAACGCTCATTTCTGTACATTCTTTGCCATCATGGTTAGAATTGGAATCTGCAGACTGGCAGTGAAATTTTGTGCGTTAGAAGTTGGTTAGAAGGGTGGCTGCACTTTTAGGCCCTAAGCCCTCCATGAAGCGATCTGTCCTCCATACTCTCGCTATACAGGTACTCTCGGACGATGGCGTAGCTTTGCGGCGCAAAAATCCAAGTTGGCGAGGCCGGAAGCTTTCCGTCGGTGAACAAACAGCTCGGAGAGTGGGCCCAGTCGCGGTCGTGTCGTCAGTCCCGCTGTTTGATCGCGCTTCGGCTGTCATCGAGGCCCTTCAAAAGTTCAAATGGACGTGACACTCCGGAAAAACCACTCAGGCGGCAGATCAAAAAAATACGCACCCTCTTCAATCCGTCACGCCACGAATGCCATGTCCCCTTCCACCTTTTTTCCCTCTGCTCATTTTCTGCCTCGTCTATGGCCAACTCTTGTATAGTTTGTTTATTCCGACTCGAGACAATGAGGACCCCTAGAGAGAAAAAAGGAGGTGTTTGCATCTTGAGGATTGTGCACCTACCCTGTGACGTATGTCGGTACAATCTGGTCAGCGAAATCCGGAATTCGAAGTATGAAACACGGACCATAACGTCCAATTTTTTTGCTTGAATCAACTCATGATATAATTTTAAACACTTTATGTAGAATGCATTTTTTCCCATGAACATTTCTAAGAAAATCGATGATAAAAGTCGCCGTACCGACCTACGTCATCAAAAAAATTCCAAGATGCCCGAAAGGCAAACACCTACTTTTTTTCTCTATATATGATAAGGACCGAAGTAACGAACATCGGATCATAGATTAAAATGTTTTGAGCTTGTTTCTGAAATATCTCAAATGGACCCAGTTTAGCAGAAAGGAATCAAGCCCCAACAGCTATTGCCAAATCTAACCGGGCAATTTAATTCTTTAAAAGAGAACTTTGCATGTGCAGATTCCTTCGAAAATTTTACAGAATTTGCATCGCTCTATTCAGAAAATTCACTGAAATTTGCACAAAAATCCGCACATCCGTTTTCATGTAAAAAATGAAATTTCCCAACTAAATTTGGCAATAGCTGATGTGGCTTGGTTCCTTTCTGCTTAACGCGGTCCAAATGAAATGGACCGACTCCCGAACTACGCTCTTCGGTTTGCAACGTTGCAGATCTCCTGTCATTCCTAACTTTTTGAATGGAAAACCAGCCAATGTTAATTATTAAAAACTTCTTTGATTTTTCCTCTCTGTGCGAAGATAATTCTGGGAATACTGCAAGGAATGCTTTTAATTTGTTCTAAGTTCCTTTCAAAAAATAAAACAGGAGCGGCGATTTTTCAACATAGCAAACGAGAATAGATAGCTATTCGCGCTTTCCAGCACGTTTGTTGCCTAAACGGCGGAATTGAAGGCGAATTTAAGTTTAAGATACTTACTTATTTATTAACACATCATCTATCGGTATTTTGGAAGTTTATAGAGGTTGACACTTATCGATGGTGAAGTGCAGGAGTGCGTATCTCAGAAAACACGATTTTCTAGGAGAGTAAAAAAAAAACTGTCTATAGACATCCTCTTTATTGTTTGCAGAAGAGTAATAATTCTTGAGGTTAGCAAGATTAAGATGCTTTTTCAGACTCTATCAGCATTTTGAATAATTTCTCGAATGGACCACTAGACAAGGTACGAATTTCAGCATTCTGATACATGTTTCTTCACCAAAATTTCACGTATAACACGATGCGCACAACGAATATTACCGAAATCAACTCCTTCCAAAGATATTAATGATTCTTGGTGCGTGAATTCAAACCACCCGCTCATGAAAACTCAATGCTCTACGTGATTCACATTGCTCGCTAAACGTTATCATGAACGTCTCTGCGATAAAAAAATCTCGCAACTTCAATCTTGACACTTTGGCTCAGTTATAGCAAATTACGTATAGTTTGAACAACACATGGTGGGAAATGAACATTGCTCGATTGAGAAGATCGCTGAAACCGTTGTAGTGCGCGATTTGACTCACGTAGAGTTTTGAGTTTCTTGTGAGCGGGCAGTTCAAATTCCTCGTAACCAATGTGAAATAAAAATGTTAATAGCTTCATTAAGAGTTGGTTTCAGTAATTTTCGTTGTTTGAATCGTGTTCTACGTGAAATTCTGGTTAAGAAACATGTATTAGAATACTTAGATTCGTACCTTGTCTAGTGATCCATTGTTAGAAAATACGGCAGAAATGCCCAGATTCGCGTTTTTGACACCAAGAATTGACACTTCATCACGAGATACGCATATTTGCAATAGTGTTTTAAACCTGTTGTTGGCGGATTTGGATCATGTAAAGACAAAAAAAAAGAATTTTACGCTTACAATTCCTTATCAGATAAGCTTTAGTTTGATCTCATATGACCAGATCAAGCATTGTGTAATTGGAAAACGACATTTCTTCACGAGATACGCATCTCCGTAATTAGCGTTTTGAACGTGCTCTTGGTCATTAATATCAAAAATAGAGTTTATTCATACTTAAAACTTGCTTAGAAGCTTTAGTTGATCCAATACGATGAGTCACCGATAAGTGAATCAGAGAATTGGCTTCCTTGCCTTGAGTATAACTTTTACAACATAGGTAAGAAGACAGTGCGTAGTCTCTAGAATATATCGTCTCTGCGTGGACCCTCAGAAAATTATATGTATAGGTAATACTTCTTTTTCTATTTTACCCCCAACACTTTGGCATATACACCGTTAGAAACCTACAGCCTTTTGGTGACCGTAGAAACCCGGAGGACATCCATGCTTTATCCATCCACGCTCTATGCCTTTCAAATGGACGCGTGGAACAAGTACCTTTTTTTCAATTCTGATTATTCACAGTTCATCGTCGAAAGCTCATTTTATCCGTGCGAAACTTATTGAATTCACAACTACTTTTGAGTGATTTGTGATCTTGGAAACGGCGACTCGCTCAGTCTTGCATGAGAATACGATGACCAACGCAAGAAGACTTTAAAACCAAAATCTGAACCGAGCGTTTGGACTCTCTTTCTTGAAATAAGACTTACAGAAAAAAAAAAAATCTTGAAAATCTTGTCCGATTTTCAAAATTACGGCTCGATTGAAGATTCAAAATTCTGAGCATTTCTGGTCAACATCGTTGCACAGGGCTTCTCAGATACGATACAGAAGAGCGCCTTCAACCCACTGCGTAACCTTAATGCTAAATTCTGATACCACTATTCGTGCGTCTTGACAGTTATTTTGCATAGCCGGCCAACTGAAGGAAAATCATTGACCCAGGCAACACGGTACGAATTTCAACAATCTGATACGTGTTTTCTAGGGAACAAAACATCTGGGGGTGCCCTACCTGGTATCCAATAAGCAGCCCCCGAGGGTGCTCTAGCACTGCTTCACCTGGCATTGAAGAAGTCCAACCCCGAGGGGCAGCCCTCCTGGCCTCCAAGAAGCCCAATCCCCCGGGGGTGCGGGGTGCCCCACTTGGCATACAACGAGCCCAGCCCACAGGGGCTGCCCTCCTTGGCAGTTCAGTCACCCAAATCATTAAATTACTTTTAAAAATACGAAAATTTCGAAAAATTTCAGTTATTTTCCCGAGGTTCATCCAGAAATCTTTCCCAAAAAATTTTGAACGCTTTTCCCTTTATTATATTTTTCGGTACATCATATTATGATACTTCCACCCCTTCCCTCTCTCAGTGATAAGGTGTCATCGCATAGCCGCGCCGACACAACCCTATCTTCTACACCGCTCTGCTAAGGATGCCGCATGGACATTCGATAGTTGCCAAATTTCCTCGAAAAAAACATGCATTTGTGAAGACAGTTCTGCATAGTTTCCCTTGAAATTTTAAGATATTTTAGATTAAATTGCGAACAAAATTATGTGAAAATTTTGGAAACCAGTTCACTATTTTTTTGGCGAATTGGACTTTTACTGAAGAAAATGTGGTAACATCTGAAGGCTCATTTAGCGTCTTTCCTCAGCAAGGCAGTATAACCGGTGAACTTTATGCTGACTCCTCAAACTCCTGGAGCCTTCGTTCTCCGGTCGCACTGAGATAGGCTGCAGTGGCGTGTCCTGCTTTGCGATACATCGATTGATCTGCCATTTAAACCTATGGAAAAGGATCGATGAACAGGGTGTGGTCGCAACGAACACCTTAATGATCGATTCTTTAACATATAGCTTCAAATGGGGAAATATCGACTTATCGCAATTAGCACGCCACGCCTCTGAATTGTGCTGCTGACTTTTGAAATTCCTATATCCTCTGCTCGAGACCAGATACTAGCTTAGTTTCAGTTTCAATCAGTCGGGCTCGGTTCTCTACCATGGCTCCACGCCGCGCCGTGAGCTATACTCCGAAAGACACCTTTAATAGGTATAATTTATCAATCGCAGATCCTTAATGGTAGCAGGCTCTCATCAAACGTAGATGTTTTGAGGGTTTCAATTGTTTTTCACCTTTCGGGCGGTAAAGTTCATTTTCCACTAAAGTGCCGATATTACAATCGGCAAGGCCCTAATAATTTGGGAAATGCGCGGATTTCTAGGTACAGAAACGTGTGCAAATAGTGGAAAATTGTATAGGAAGTGGCGGAATATCCAGAAATGTTCCCGTAGAATTTGGTCAGGCTACAAGGAAGCAGCAGACAATTTTATAATTGACTTGGATAACCTTTTTGATGTTGCTCATGGTGATACTTCAGAACTAAAGTCAACAGCGTCGTTTTTGGGCAAACGGTTTCCTAAGTACTCTACCGTGCTAAGGAAAAACGCCTTATGAACATTCAAGAGTTGCCAAATTTTCTCCGATACAATGTTTATTTTTAAGAAAAGTTATGAATATTTTTTCTATGAAATTCTCAGATAATGTATATTAAAGTGAAAACAAAATTATCTGAAAAATTGGAAGAATAATATTCATAAGTTCACCAGGAAATTCGTGTTCTATCCAAGGCAATTTGGCAACGCCTAGAGGTTCATACGGCGTTCTTCCTTAGCACGGCAGTACTGGATTCAGTGCATAGGCGGATCCAGTAAGTTGGTAACACCGTTTTTCTCCAATTAAAACCATGTAGGTAAATGTATCGATTCTTGGTGTTCCGGCCAGAATCGACTATTTAATATAGGTTTAAATGGAGGAAATCCGGTGTTGCCAAATTACTGGATCCGCTTCAGATCCAGCGTACACGTTCCTGGAGCTTACCATCGAGCCAGGGCAGGTGGACGGCTAAGGGATCAATCCGCTTGAAAATGTTTTGAAAATGTCTTCTGCAGAATCAGAAAGCATCCAACAACTATGTATTTTTACCGCCAAAGTTTACCTATGCATGTGCAGCACGGCTAGTCCACCGCACCATAGTGTATCTCACCGATCTCCTGCACATGATCTTGAATTCATAAAAAATTTGCTGAATTATTCAAAAATTGATTCTGATATATCAGCATTACCAGTCATCTTTGGTGCCTTTTGCCGGAAACTGCAACCTGGCATTTTTTTATTCGAAATTCTCAAATAAAAATGGCTGAAGCACTGAGTAAAAAGGCATTCGAGCCACAGACCCAAAAGCGTTTGTTCTTTACTTTAAGAGTAATCTTGGAGAACTGAAGAATGAGCAATTTATGGTTCATCTTTTCAGAATCAAAAACATTTTTAGATCGATCTAATCTATCAACCAAGTTCTCTAGTGATCAGAAAGAAGGAATGGGGGACAAATGAGGATTATAATAACTGTTTTGCAATTGTTCATAATTTAAAAGAAGTCAATGACTCTGCTGATCGTCATTCAAATTGATAGATGAGTACGAACAAACTTTAACGAAAGATGAAATAAAAACAAGCCATTGTACAAACTGTAAGTGAAAACAAGAAGCGTTTTAAGGGTATTGGAAAAGCAACAATTGCTCAGGAATAATTGTAATTTTTTTGAAGACGAAAAGGAAATTTCTCATCTTGCTTGTCGATTCCTCCAACTTATTCTTCATTCTAAAATGCTAGTAAGATTGTAATATGCATTTTGCTTTGCCAGGAAATGCTGGGAAACATTTTTGTTTTTTTGTCCTACCTGTTAAACATACGTAAACTCGAAATTTCATTGTCATTCATTCGAAATTATCTTAACTTGTTTGTTTTTTTCAGGTGCTCAAAGTTATCGCTTGCCTCATCTCCAGCCCAATAATCAGTGTCATTTATGTCCTATGATCAACACAGTACGCATAAAAGTTCAAGGACTGGATGCTTTAGTTTTTCAGTGCCTGATGCGCTCAAAGTGACTGGATGAATAATTGTCAAAAATGACAGAGTATTTCCTCGCATACTTCAACTCGAAGGTATACCTCTTCCTGTACCTACCTCCTTACAATAATTTAATTTCCTCTCATACTTTTTTCCGTAAAAGTCTAGGAAAAACTCCTCTGACTGGTTTCTGCCTACGTTTCAAAGCTGGTTGTAATACCTACCCCTGGTAAAAATTGGCAGTAGGATTTGTGTTCCAAAATACTATAGACCTACAGCCAGGCCCGCCATATCCCATCTCGGGCCCTGGTACCAGTTTTAAGGCCCGGGCCTCCAACACCGAGGGGGTCCGGGGGCCTCCCCCGGGAAATTTTTAAAAATTTTAAATCTACTTGGACGCATTTTTGAAGCTCCCATGACGGAGATTTTCCGGCAGTTTCTGCGGAATAATTACGCTTTTTTTTTTCTTTTTTCTTTCTTTTTTTTTTACTTTTAGCACAAAATACTTTCGAATTGTTGCATTCAAAACATCTTGAAATTTTTTCGGGAGGGGGGGGGGCAGATGATACTATTTTCAATTCTAGGGGGGTCCAAGCCCCCCTGGACTCCCTTTTCGTACGTCTATGGCAAGGAAGTTGAGTCATAACGAGTATGTAAAGCAATGTTTACTATGTTACAATGCACTTCCTTTGAAGGATTTAAAAATTGATGATAACACGGAATTGCAAAAATTCTCAAAATTGATCACTGAATTCCTAGTGGAGAAAGAATTCTACGCAGTTAGAGAACTGGTGTAGACGTTTATTCAATCTAATTCACTTGAAGAATTGTCCAATTTAACTATTATGCATTTTTCTAATTTTGAATGTTAGTATTAAGTTTAATCTAAGTTGACCCGTTTGTTTGCCTTTTTGAGCATTTTTTAACGAATAAAGTGATTTCTATTCTATTTCTATTCTATTCTATTCTATTCATTGAAGTCTAGTATGCCCAGACCGGAGACTCTTAGCATCCGATGACGGAAGAAAATGAAACGCAGTTACTAAAAATATCAGTCTATACTAGAAATCTTGAAAATAGATAGAAATCTTTAAAGAAGTAAGAAAAATTCTACAGTGCCCCAGCGTGTTTTTGATAATTGGACGTATTTCTATCAAACGGAACTATGTGCATCATGACGTGAGCCCTGTTATGCATATATTCTTATGGGTCTCAGGGCTCATGTCTTAATGCACATAGTTCCGTTTGATAGAAATACGTCCAATTTATTCACCTTTTGCGAAATTTTTAGGGTGAATTTTTCACTTTTCCTTACGAAACAAGGGTTACATGTGAATTTGTAGTGGTCTTTCACCAATGGCACGGGTCCCTCCAGAGCCCGGGCCCCGGAACCAGGGACCCAGTATCCCCCCCCCCCTTGTGGCGGGTTTGCCTACAGCTGGCTGTAAGAGTTCCTTCAGCTTCTAGCCAGCTATACAATTTGATATAGCCTTTTGTAGCCGATGGCGATAAAGCTACAGCCAGGCGATAGTGACTGGATAATTTTTTATCGCTTTGTATACTGCCGTGCTAAGGAAGAACGCCGTATGAGCCTTCAGACGTTGCTAAGTTTCCTCCGACAAAAAGCGAATTTACTGGGAAAATTGTGAATATTATTTTCCAAAATTTTCAGACAATATTGTACGCAATTTAATCTAAAATATCTGAAAATTTCAAGTGAAAATATCCATAAATGTTGTCAAAAATACAGGTTTTATTGAGGGAAATTTGGCAACTCTCGAATGTTCATACTGCGTTCTTCCTTAGCACGGCAGTATAGCCCGGCTGTATGATTTTCTTCACTTTCTACAGCCAGCTATATGATTTTCTATCGCCTTCTATAGCCGGCCATAAGAATTCCTATGGTATTTTGAAACGCAGCTCCTGTTACCAATTTTTACCAAGGACTTCAATTAAATCTGTCTAATACTTTCAATAAAAGTGCTTTATAAGGTTTCTTTTACGTTCAAAAAAGTCGAAGTTACCTAGTTTTGGAACAGAAAAGACAAAAATTTCACATCAACCAGAATTGCATCAATTATCAGTTGGCTTTTTTGTTAACCCATAAATTTCTATAGAGTGGTGCCATTTTCAGATGTAATATTCGTCCATTCTTTTCTCTCCACATTTGCCTCAGCTTTGTATGCTTTTAATCATAATCCTCTTCAAATTTACTAGTATTAATGATTTTAAAAGTCAAGCCACACAAGATTGTACACAGCATTACTCCCGCAAATAAATCCTCCTTATTCTAGAGTTAGTCACTGAATTTCTCACTGGTTCAAGCCATGCAAATAAGTAGGGCACCATAGTATTGTAGTATTGGCTTCCCGCACAGAACGTGAGAAAAAATCGAAAATTTATGTCTAATTACCCAGGAAAATGTGATCATAGTCTACCCCTAGTTATCAGTCATTCAGAAATGTGTTTTTATTTCTGATTTTACGCCTTGTTTAATTTGATGATAGAATGAACAAGGTCCAACATTATTTCAAAGATCAAAGATAAAAACACACACACTGCGCAGGAAACCCAAAAATTAGCATTGGAAATTAAAAAAACAAACTTTCGATTTCACGACTGCTGGATTGCATCATTAGCCAAAACCTAGCAAAGCTTTCTTTGACAAGTAAAATTGCCTTAAAATACTGCTGTCAAAAATGCACCCAGCTGGGCTGATAGCAATGTTTCCCCCTCAGAACAATAGGGCTCTAGCACTATTCTGTCGTCTCATTACCATACATTATTTGGGCCGTAATTTAGTGTTTTTTTCCCTTATCCTTATTATTTTGCTTTAATCTGTCCTACACATTATATTACAAGATTGCTTCAATCAAACAGGCTTGTGGCAGAGTCATTTGATCCATTCATAGTGATTGAGGACCTCATGTGTTATTATCATTCTTTTGCACAGGGTGGGCCAGAAGTTCTATGATGGCTGGCTAACTTTTGAATGACTGCACCTATAAGAAGATGAAATTTTATCTTGAATTTTTTTATGAATCTATATTTTTTCTTGGTCATTTGAACCTACTTTCAAGCGTTTACAAAATTTCAGGGTCCTCCTCCCATTGCTTACTCGGACTAAAACAAATAAATTTCATGTAGGCACTCTTTTCTCTTTTCTTGATTCACCATTTAAAAGAAAATAAGAAAAGAAAACTCTTTGCGCAAAGTTGAGGACTTTTTGAGCTTCCATTTCCAAGATATTTTTAGTCAAAGTTTGAAATTAAATAAATCTTTTTTCAAAAATCATAAGTGACGTTTAAAAAGTCAGAGATAAACCAACAGGTAGTTTAAATTACTCATCATTGAGAGTACTTTCAAGAAAATATCTAACTTTTATTTTTGATTCGATTTTGGAATGACATGAGATACCTCAGAAATTTAAAATTTGATGCGGGAGGCCATCATTCACATATTCATCTTGTTGTTAATGCTACTCCTGCTTGCTCCAAAAGAGGTAATTTCCTCTTTTTTCCCTGTGGTAAACAAACTTGTGGCTCTTGTTTTCATCCTTCTTTTTCATACTTAAAAAATAATGATAACTCAATCAAATTCCAGGAACTGTAACGAATACTGGAACCAGAAAGTTGCATCAGTCCGTATCATGGCAGCTCATGAGCAGTTTATTGTTCTCGCATCTGACAAACTCCAAAGAGCTGACTTGTTTCCCGCAGGATATGAAGTCAATCTCACTCCAGGAGCCAGCTCGAGTCTTGATCAAAAATTAGTTAAGCGTGAGTTTATTCCATCACAGGTGCAAAGCGGAATTTTGAGTGATGATTCGCTCTATCTATCTACACCAAATGTTAAGATAGAACCAGAGTTTGAATTCGATGACCAGTCATGGAAATGGGCTTTAAGTTCAAGTGATTCTGATTTAGGTTCCAATTTAAAACAGGATTCGCTCAAAACAAGCATTCCACAGATCTTAACTAGTGGAATGAAAACGGATCTAAAAAATGAAGGCTCGATAACTTATGAGCTGGTCGGTCAATTGCTGACTGATCCAAACGATGATCAATCACATTCTCTCGATACTTCTGCAATTGAGAGCAAAAACCAAATTAATAGTAAATCTTTAGATTTTGTAGAATATTTTGACGAGCATTACATCGCATGTAATAATCATTCCTCTCTTGTTGACAAGGAAAAATTAAAAGCTCAATCTGTCAGGAAGACTGAGCAGTCAAAAGTGTACTATGATTCTCGTATATGTCTGAAAGATGTCAAAGTGAACCTAGTCGATATTTTTCAGAAAATGAAGAAAATTCAAAAGCGTTTCCCTTTTAGCAAAAGGGTACATTTTCCACAGCGAACCTCCAAACAAAGCTCAACAACAACAGAAATCCAAAGAATGATTCAAAAAAATCCTGAGCAGTACCATTGCTCCAAATTTTCAGCAGAATTCGGTCGTAGGAATTCATTGAGAGACCATGTAGCAATCCATGCAACCCAGAAGTTACAATGTAAATTCTGTACTCTGAAATTCGAGAAGTCAAATGATTTCAAAATTCATTTGAAAAAAGCACATGCCGATAAGGAGTCTCTCGTTTGTGGTATTTGCTCCACAGAATTCAAAACAAGCGTTGCTTTATATCATCATTTCAAACTCGATCACTCAAATATGCAATCTTTCAAATGCTCTGTTTGTCACAAAATATTTACTAAATACGGCCTTCTAAGACAGCATATTATAGGAGTTCACAACGATGTGAAACCATATGGTTGCAGCCTTTGCTCCGCTAAGTTTACCCAGAATTCTGCTGTCAAAACTCATATTCATTCAATGCATCTGAAAGATAAACGATTCAAGTGTCATCTTTGCTCTAAAACATTTTCTCAAGGTGGTGGACTAAATTTCCATGTAAAATCAGTACATCTGCAAGAGAGGCCACACAAATGCTCCGTTTGTTCGAAGGCACTCAAAAAAAGCCAAGCTCTTAAATGGCACTTGAGTTCAGTACACAATAAAGAAAAGCCGTTCAGCTGTAACATCTGCTCTAATAAATTTGCCCGTCGTGAAAATCTGGTAGAACATTTGAATAGTGTCCACAAAAATGATAGACCTTACAGCTGTCAAAATTGTCACCTTTCGTTTAAAGTGAAAAATTCTTTAAGAAAGCATATGGCTACGCATGTAAAAGAGAGACTTTTTAAGTGTGACCATTGTTCTTTAAGATTTCCTACAAAGAGAAACTTGAAGTATCACCTTGTGGTTCACAGCAAGGAGAGACCATTTAATTGTCGTGCTTGCAGTTTAACTTTTAAGTGTAGCCGCGGTTTAAAATCTCACTTTAATAACTGCCACCTAGTGAGTGATCATAATATTTTAGTTTTTGAGTGTGATCATTGTCGGAAAAAGTTCAAAAATAAAGTTCTCTTAAAAAGACATGTAGAAAGGCACACTACAAAATTGCTAAACTGCCGAGACTGTCTGAAGAAATTTAAAAGCACCCGTAACTTAAGAGTCCATGAGAGGATCCATAAGAATGAAAGGCCGTACAAGTGTAATATTTGCTCCAAGACATTCGTTCAAAGCGGTAGTCTAGTGTTGCATCTGAGGATTCATAGCAATGATAAACCGTATAAATGTAACGATTGCCCCAAGGCCTATTTTCAGAAACGCGGGCTTGAATTTCACATAATCTCAGCCCATGATTTTGAAAACAAATTCCATTGCAAGCTATGCACTGCTAAATTCAAGAACAAATTTCACCTCAACCTCCATTCAAAGACGGATCATGAGAATAAGCGGTCGAAATGTGAGCTTTGAACGGAAGAGTTCAAGTTATTAACAACTCTTGAGGAACATGCAAAGTTTTGCATGCGAATGCTTTCTTGAGGCTATAAGTATTTTATGCAAACAGAATGATTGGATGAGTTAGCTCAGACTTTTGATGGTAGAAATTGTCGCTTCCGGATCTGCCCAAGTAATATTTTACAGTTAGAAATTTAAAAATTAGGTCAGGGTCTGACATCGTTGGAGAATGTAATAGTGTATTTTTTTTCCAAAAATACACTAGAAGGATCATGGAAAATCGGTCATCAGTAGTATTAAGCTCATTTTAAGGATTAGTTTTAATTATCGTAGATGACTTGCTTTTGTGTGTGTAGGATTTTCTCACAAAAACTCTCTTTGAGGTCCGGTTTCTCCCAGAAAAAGAAGAAGAAAAAATAAAACTTTTGATCTTATTTTAATTTTTTTGATGGAGCACAATTCTTTATAAAGTACTTTACCCTCTTTCCGTTTTACTATGACAAAGCAAGGCTGCTCCAAGATCGTACCAATGTTAACTTAATCATCAAAAGAATGCATTGCATTACTTGCATAAAAGAGCGTGAGTGAACAAGTTTTAAAGATCGTTTTCCTGATTTTTACTCAACAAAAATAATTCGAAGGAATGTACTGATACAAGTTATCAGTGACAGTAAGCCTACGCCAATAAAATGTTAAGAGTTAGCTGTAATACTAATGTTTCTCTTTCAAATTCTCTGGTAGAAAGGTTTTTGTTTCGGTAACTTACTTGCAATTTTCAGTGAAAAACTGACTTTTTTTATCCAAAGGTGTATTTTGAATATCAACTGTTGAAGTTGGAAAATGAGTCTCTCCAATTCAGATTTTGCAAATCTCTGCTCATGTTTTATTTCTTTAGAAGTTAACCAGCGATAAGTTTTTCTTGAAATTTCCTGTGAAGTATCTTCACTTATTAAAATATACTCACAGAAAATTTAATGAGGATCTTTTTGTTAGTTTCCTTTGACAAAATAAAATTTAATCAAAGAGTTTGAAACATTGCCGCGGAGCTACAAAGTTCTCCTCTTTAGTAACTCGAGAAATTCCCATTTTAATTGAAATCCCCCTACTGAAGAAAAAGGAAGCAGCCTCTTTACTGTACAAAAATTTAGATTTAGATCTGAGGTCATATGCTGCCAACATATCTTTGCTGACGTTAGGATCATTCAATTTTTTCAGATTGAAAATCAGTTTTAAACTTGAGGAGTGAAGCAACCCTTTAAATTAAAAGATGTATATTCATAATTTTCAAGGTCATTTTAATCTTTGAGTTCGTTCCTGATTTTCCATCCGTAAAAATTTGAGTGTAGTCAAGACATGATAGGAAAACTAAAAGTCTGATTTTGAATCTCCATCTTTATCTTTAATCAAACCACTAAGGTATTTTTTCACCTCATTTCCGAATTTTCTCTGCCGAAGAGTACACTCTCGCCGCAAAAGGTATTACATATAGAATCCTTTTTTGTATAATATGCAGTGCAACTAGTTTCTCCTATCATAAACCTTACTACCTCATAATGCAAGGTAATAAGCTAGTGTCGTGACAAAATCTGAATTGAAAGAACGCTCTGACTGTCCCCCCTCAAAATTCAGTGTTCAAGACGAAGATCCACACATCAAGGAATAAATTAAAATTAAAGACATTGGAGATAATTTTTAATTTTTTCAATTAATTTTGTAAGTAGAAAGTTAGAGAATATCACAAATTGTTTGAGTTCAAAGCTTGCACAGTTCACTCATTCTGTACTTATTACAATTACAATTATTTTGAATTACCTACCTTGAAATCAAATTTTGCATATCACCTGACATACTGCAGAATACTCAATTTTGAAGATTTTTAAGAGGAAGCACCTTTAAATGTTAATATTTTCAATGCACTGAAACGAAAGCAAAAAAGTACTGATGTCCTAGATTTGACGCTGCATTGAAAAAAAAAAAATTCCAAACGGTACCTATAGAACCATCCCTAAATTAATAAAAATTAATAATCTTGAAAATTAATTCTTCAAGCTCTGGAGTGTAGATCCTTGGAATTGTGTAGATTTTAATACTTACGAAAACATAAAATCAACCTGTTTAATTGTAAACCCGACTTGTAAACCCGATAGCAGAGACAACGCATATTTCATCCATAAATATACATTAGGTGAAAAAAGAAGTCAGGCATTGTTCGTGAAAATCCTCTGTACCCACGCATTTTTACGAAAAAAAATATCGGAGCTTACAACAAATTTTCATTTATAATTTCTAAGTAATCTTTATTCTGTATATGTACCTGAGAATTGCATACAAATTCATGAAAAATTACCTTTTTAATACCTAATGCACAAATATGCGTGAGGTTTTTAAATGATATTACTGAGAAAAATCTAGGTAATGTGTAATTAAAAATGTTAAAAGGTTATCTAAAATTTGATTATTTTTCCCACTGGAAAATATATGGATTACATTTTGCATTAAGGAACCACTATTTCTGGCCCATTTTAGAAACAACATACATGCCATTGGTTTCCCTATGCAGATAGGTATGTGCTTTTATGGGAGAGCCAGTGATAGTGGTTCCTTATTGCAAAATGTAGTTCATAAGAGTATGAGATAAGTTTTTTCTCTGATGTTATTCCCTTTTTTTCACTGCCTGTCTAGGTAGTTTCCCCGCAAATTGATTTTTCGGAATATTTGCACCTCTGGATTTTGCTGGTAGCTAGGGCAAGTCAGATCCTTTTGTCCTTGACTAAAAATTCCAAGGTTAGTGAGGTGAAATCAGGCGGACTGACCGCTCGATGGATTAACCATCTACATTGAGCAGCAGTGTTATCCGCACATCAACATCCTGGGGCTGAAGTTACATTGTGGTTCTTTAATAAATTAATCAGCTAAATTTGTCTTGGAACCTAGAGTTTGGTGGATTTACCACCTGGAACAACATTTTATAAAATGAACTTTTTGGAAGTGAAACCAGGTATAACCAATTTTTTTTAAAAAAAAAAAAAAAAAAAAAAAAAGTTTTTGCAGTTTTCCCACTGTGCAAATTCAGAGATGCTTTTTTTTAGGAGCTCAGGGAGCCCTATTTAAAACCATACATTGAATTTTCCCAGTATCATGTTTTCAACTGAGAGATGAATTTCAGCAGTAGTCTGGACTTTTCTTTTTTTTCTATTTCCTCTCAAAAAAATTGTATTTTCTTAGAGTACGAAGTAGGAGACACAAAGTACAAGGAGGTTTTATGACCAAAGTTAAGTTGGCATCTTTGTGAGAGTTTTTTCAGCATTTTTGATGGTAAGTTGGCAACCTTACATTTTGTCTCTGAGTGTAGGTTAGGTGGTAAGGTTAGGCTTTTATTTACAGTATGGTACACACATACACACTGTGCTTGCATATGAAAGAAAGAAACTCTTTCTTTCAACAATTATAGTTAAAGTATCGAACACCGCATCATCTACTCAATGTGGTTCATTTCTCTTGAAGTTTGGCACTTTCCAAACGAAGGTATTTAATTTCTTATCTATAACATTCATGAAAAAAAACCTAGCATTTAAACAGAAGAAAGTTCTCATTTCTCCTGATTGACTTCAGGTCATCAAACTTTTTATGTGCCAATTTTGAGAAAAGCTGGGCCGTAGAATGAATTTTTCAGCATCTTGACTTGAATTTACTCACATAGATATGGCACTTTGTGCTGAGTCAGGTCCGTGGAACTTCTGCTTTGAATCAGTTGGTAAGACCAACACAAATTTTACTGGCAACCATTGGAGGAATTTTGTTCTTAGAGCCCAAAGACCCAAAAACGGAGCGCTAGTGACTCAGAATGGCTTATAATCGGTCAAAGGTATCAGGGCAGAAACAGGACAACTTTAAATTTAAGAAGTAAGAATGCGTTCAAGATTTCAACTCATTTCAGGCCTAAAATTTCGATAGCTTAACTTTTTTGATTTCACCGAGTGTTGCAAAAATCTTATTTTTGGTTGTTGATCCCTATTTTTTTTCAGGGGATGCAATACAGTAGAACTTACGTAGATGTCGGAAGCCAGGAGAAATCTGTTGTTTAACAATGTTGCTTATAAGAGCAGAGGAACTGTACTTGGAGGCTAAAATTTCCACTTGCAATAAGGAAGAGGTCAACTCCGTTTGTTTCCTCAAATAAATCAGGTAATCAGGCTAAGGGGAGTCAGAGAGTCTCTTCGTAGAAAATTTTATTCTTCATAGATCTAATGATTTTTTTCTTTTTAAAGGACAAGTGATGAGACAATTCGATGCATTTAAAGCAAAAGGAACTATCTTAATTGTGACATAGGCTCCGTCACAGGTGTATTCTTATTGGTATTAGGACCCACCTCACAATGTACCGAGATGGTTTTTTTTTTATTCAAATGTATCCAGTTACTGTATCTCCCATCAGCCAAACCACTGAACCACCAAGCAGGGCGAGGAACCACAGATTGCAATATACGTAACGACGTTGTAAGTCGGCAATCACATAACTTGCAGACTTCCTGTCATACTTTATTTTTTAAACAAAAAACTACTCAACGGCAATTCTTTAAAATGCCGTGATTTAACTCCTCCGTGCGAAGAAAATTTCTGCATAAATTTCAAAGAATGATGTCAATTTGTTCTCCTCTAAAAAAATAACATAGAGGCGGAGATTTTCAGGCACCGCAAACGAGATATGTGAGTGCGGGCTTACGCTTTCGATGATCTCATCAAAATTATACGTGCAACATGGTGGGCACTTTGGAAAGTCCCATCTTTTTATTTTCAAGCGAGAAGTCAGCAGTGTTCGTTTAGTTGATTCGAACTTCCCTCTCTTCGAGGAACCCAAAGTCTACTGAAATCAAACTGAGCACACAGCACATTTCAGTAAGTTTTATGATGAAGTAATTTTGTCTTCATGCCATATATTTTTTTGAAATTTTTTAACTACGATTTATCCTAGAAAAAATTTTAGTTTGCTAGTCCCTCTTAGATGTTCTGGTTCTGATTATTTTTGCTTTGTTGAACATGTTCTGCATGTAATGAGAAAATTTGTCTTGAGATATTTGAATTGTAACCTTGTCTAGTTATCCATCCTTTAATCAAATTCGAATTTGAATTTTTAAATTGACTCATGCAGCTGTTCCATTCAACCCCTTGGACGGTGCTCCACCATCATTGACGGGTGTATTCTGTACATGACCGTTGCCTCTGAGTATTAATCTACCAATGAAAAATTCTGATTCAGCTTACATCTCTGATAAAAATACTCCAAAAAACTGCTCCGATATTTTAATATGGAACTAAAATTCAATTTTACTAATTGATTTAATTTGATTTTATCTGATTTTTCACTCAACAAATTGTTCATCAATCATTATTAGGCAAAAAGTAGCGTTGAACTCTGAATTCAACATTTCAACATTTGCCTCACCGGATTGTATTGCTTAGATTATTAGCGCGGGGCCTGTAAATCATTTGGACATATTTATGCTAAAAGGAACTATAATAATCGCAAACCGAATTCACCTAGTTTAATTACTGAACTATGTGAATTTGGTTTGCGTTTATTATAGTTCCTTTTAGCATAGATACATCCATTTTGTCTCCGCTCGTGTGCCCTCTTTACCTTTTCAAACCCTCTGATCAATAATTTGTGTATTATTTCAGGTATACAAAAAATTCAACGTAAAGCCGAAGGTCGAGATGGAGCAATCATTTCTGGTAGGGAGTTCAGCCGGTTCAGGCCCTGAAAACTCATCCATCGGAAACCAAGAGGCAACAGTTATAGGATTAGTGCAGTCTTTATTCACTCCATTACCAGCAAAAACTCTTCAGTACAGAAATATCGATCCTGTAGGATGCGGCGCAAGTCTGATGAATGATTCTCTTTTGTCAATGGTAAAGTCAACTGTGAAAGTGGAAGAAGAAGTTTCCGAAAATAAAGATGTAATTCTCGAACTTGTGAGTTACCCGTCCTCCAGTTCTGACGTTCCTCTGAAATATGAAGATGATGTATTGGACGAAAGGATACAAGAAGCACCCGTCAGTTCAAACAAACAAAAAGCAAGCTGTGGCAATCCAAGCAATGTAACAACAGAGGATGTACCAAACATCGCCAATTTTGAAAGTGATCTGAATTTTTTGAATCAAAGTAACATTGTGAACAATATAGAAGTAAAAGTGAAGGAAGAGTGTTCACACGAAGAGGTCATAACCAGTGAGCTGGTCAAATATTCTTCTGCGGACTCAAATGAAGCATTCAAGTCTGAAGATGACAGCTTTGAAGAGGAACCCTATTTTCCACTTGATGACAGCCCTGCGCAGGAGAAAGGCTCAGAAAAAAACTGTTGCAAGGATCAAGTCAGGTCCAAGGCCAGTGTATCAAAATTGAGAAATGTTTCCGTCAAACTTGTTGATATTTTCCCAAACAGCGTTCGGAAGCTTGGCAAAGCCCACTATCAGGATAAATCGTGTGCTTGCATTTTCTGTCGAGGAGAGTACAAGTGGACTGCTGGTTTGCCCTATCACCCCAAAGATATCGACAAACTGTCAAGAGTAGCTCCACATGAATCAGCCCTTAAATCGGGGCAAGATTCTACTGACAGTTCGGTTTTATCCAACAAAGTTTTGTTTGAATGCAGTGAGTGTTCAAAAAAGTTTACCCTCAAAAATAGTTTAAGCAAACATTTGAAAGAAAATTGCAAAGTTGTGAAAAGTAAAGAGGGTTATACAGCAAAATATCGTAAAAAGCGGGGAAAAAAAAATTATATTTGCACTGAATGTTCTCGGGATTGCAAAAGCAATGCAGAGTTACTTAATCACATGAGAGTGCATACGAAAGAAAGACCTTTTAGCTGCGAAGTATGCTCGAAATCGTACACTCAAAAATCAGCCATGAACGCTCATATCAGACAAGTACATTTGAAATTAAAACCAATTAATGCAACTTGTAGTTTGTGTCCCAAGAAATTCAATTCTCAGTACAAACTTGCAGTGCATGTAAGGGCAGTGCATCTTCAAGAAAAACCTTACAGTTGCAAGTTGTGTCCGGCTAAGTTCGCCTACTCCGGCCAGAGCCTCAAAGTGCATATACGGTCAGTTCACAGGAAGGAAAAACCATATGCTTGCAGCCTGTGCTCGGCATCATTTTCACAGAATAGCCATTTAGGAGTTCATATGAGGGCTATACATTTAAACCAAAAATTCAGCTGTGAGCTATGCCCGGCCAAATTGGCGCAAAAATCCGAGCTTAGACGTCATTACAAAGCCGTGCATCTTAAAGAGAAACCATATGAATGCAGTGATTGCGCTAAAACCTTCCCCTTCAAATCAGCACTGGAAAGTCACAAAGATTCAGTGCACAATCCTAATCGTGAAAGAAATTTTAGTTGTGAGATTTGCTCTGCTGCTTTCATAACAAAAGAAGGCTTACATCTGCATCTACGATCCATCCACAGCGACGAACGACCGTTTACCTGCGACATTTGTCAAGCCACTTTCAAAAGGAAATTCACCATGAAAGCACACTTACGTTCTCACGATCCTGAGAAACGCTTTAGTTGTGACGTGTGCTTTGTGAAATTAAAATCCAAACGGTCCCTTGAGTATCATCTGCAATCGCATTGTGGCGAAAGACAATGTTTTACTTGTCACATTTGCTCGCTTGAATTTTCCTCCAAGTCATACGTCAAACTTCATCTCAAAGCAGTGCATGAGAACAAAAGAATGTTCAGCTGCAAACTTTGCCCAGCAAAATTCAAACAAAATCAGCACTTGAACATACATTTGCAGGGAGTGCACCTAAAAGGAAAGACATTTAATTGTGCGCACTGTCAAGCCAAATTTCGTATCAGACAAAGTTTGAACTTACATATAAAGGCTAAGCATCTTGCACCATCTTACATTTGCGACTATTGCTCTGCAAAATTTGCGCTGAAAGGCGGTTTAAAGCTTCATATACGAGTAGTACATTTAAAAGAAAAACTGTTTAGTTGCCACCTGTGCCCCGCAAAATTTGGTCAGGGGTCAAATTTAAAAAGCCATGTGAGAAGAATCCACTTGGAAGACAAACCCTTTAGCTGTGACGTCTGCACCATTAAATATCAATACAAAAAGGACCTTAAAAAACATATGCTCTCCCATTCGGAAAGAACGGAGGATAGTGTCGGAGGTGAGCTCCACTCTTAAGTTAGCGTTTTTGTTGCAAAATGAAGACCCTTTTTCTGTTGACTCTGCTTATGCAAAAATAGCAAATGCCTGTATTTCCTAAAGAGTTTTTCGGTTTTGTGACTCTTGGAGGTTGGACTCACGAATGCAGTGTAAATTTTGTTCTACGGCTTGGTCCTCTCTTGGAGGGGGGGGACACTGTGCCTTGTTCCTAAAAATCATGCGAAAACAGCCTGTGTCCAATCAGACACTACTAAAGTTCCTTTTGATATCCTTGAATTGTCAAGGATCTTTTAAATACTTAATTTTAGCATCTATTCATTAATCTATTATAAGTAAATGTTATCGTACAAAAAACGCTTGTAAATATGTTTATATAACGGGAGTTCACTTTTGGAACAAATTCATTGCCAAAAGTATTTTGTAAGTCGCTGTTATTAAATTGATACTTTTTTGTGAATTGTGAACAAATTTTGTGCTTCAAAATCTGCTTCTGGAACTCCTCAGAGCCAGTCGTGTGTAAGCAACAAGTTTCCAGCTTTTTCATGAAACTCTCTTCGCAATTTTTTGAAGATGTTTCATCTTTTTAACTGGCACAAAATATTATTCTTGAGTTTTAATTTTTGTTTCAATACTTTTTGAGAGAATTGAACAGTTTTGTAACTCAGAGACTTCAGTGACTCATGGGAAAAAGAAATAACGACTATTTTCTTATTTTTAAAATAACTTCATTACTCTCAGAAGAAGAAAATATGGTACCTTAAACCTTAATAATCCAATTTAAATCGAATTTGCAGAATACACAATTCTAAATTTTTGGGAAAAAAATTTATTTCAAGCTTTGCTCAACTAGTAATGCGTAAAAGTCTAAACTTGCTCGATTTTACAAAGCTGTGTATCTCAGAAAGAGAGCAGAAAAGTTCGACAAAGAGAAAGTTTAGTTTTTTATCTAAAGTTTTTCATTATTTTTTAAATTATTTTTTCGTTATTTTTGGGTCAAAAGATTTTCATCTTAACGGTTTTTTCTTTATTTTATTTGTTTTTAATTGGGCAATATTATTGGATGTTAGTGTAATGTTGTGATCTTCCCTCAACGTTTTTATTTTATGTATGTTGTCTCATGTTAATTTTGCCATTGTGAGATGTCAAAATGTTTGTGCCTATGTATAGAGCACGCTTTAACTTTGATGGATGCCAAGTTGTGTGTCTTGTAAATCATTTTTTTGTAAGAAAAGGATACTTTTAAAAAAAAAAAAAAACATTAAATCATCGACATAAAATTCCTTGCTTTTATTTTAAATTTTTCGGTAGAGGATTTAATTGTTATGATTCAATCAGTTTTCTCTCTGTGTAGATCCTCTATTTTTATTCTCATTTCATTCAATATTTGTATATGTATTTTGTATTTTTATTTTTACTATCAAAGCAATACCTACAAGATTTTTGTTATTGGATTTTTTATATTGATTATTTATTTTTTGAACGATTTTCCGGTGAACATTCCCTCTTTCACAATAAATATTTTTGTAACTAAGACACCTATTTGTAATTTTTTTAAACTGAAGGGCTTCAAGATTTTTTGGACTTAATGGAGGTGCTTCTTGTAATGTAATATTGTTTTCTCCACCGCTTTTATTACTCTGAGTCTCAAAATTTCACTCTTTTATTTTTAGTTTTTCTGTGCTCCCACGAGTTGTCATGGAATCTATCTTATTCTCGGTCAGAGTTTATTCCTTTACTTTATTAAAATTATTCCCAATTCACCCTGTAATTTTTTTTTTTTTTTTGTACTTTACTCTTAGGTATCATCAAATGGATAACAACTAAAAAAATATTTGTTTCTCCGATTATTATGTATTTTCTGTTAAGTATTGAGTGTTTAAAAGAATTTGGATGTTTGGTATTAAAAATTCATTGCATCAAGTCAAAATTGCCCATTAGGTACGTTTGATTCGCTCAAAGGAAAACTAACGAAAATATACCCTCGAAAGTTGTGAATATTTTTTAATAAGTGATGAAAATCTCATGAAAAAGTTTCAGGTTTCTATCCAAAAATAAAACGCAAGTAAATATGCAACACATGCGAGACAAGGCAATAGAGCATCTTTTTCTTTGTATTAATTGAACATCTTTGAATTACCTACACCTGGCCAAGATTTATCAAAAACAAGTGAAATCGAAGACATATCACCTCAACCCTCTTTTTGCAGATTTGATGATTACTTCATCCACTGCCACTTTTCTCTCCTATACTTAGTTAAAGAATTATCATCGCTGACCTTAGAGGTACAAAGTTGCAAATCTTACAGCAAATCGTCAATTATCAGAAATCGATGGCTGGAGTTAAAAAATGCGTATCTATGATTGCAACGTTGCAGTTTTCTGCTCGTATTATATTTTTTTTATAGGAAACGGAACATAAGTTTTTCTTGGAATTTTTTTCGTTCATTCAAATACCTATATTAAAAGGAAATTTCAAGGAGATGTTTCGGCTAGTTTCTTATTAAAAAATAAGGGAAAGTCGAATAATTTTAAACACTGCAATGGAGACACAAAGACAAACCTTTCAACTATAGACTGGGAAATACTAGCAAGTCACAGATAATGAGGTCTTGCATTCACTAGTGAAATAAAAAAATGTATGATTTTACAAAGCAGCCATTGTAAGCTCCACATAGGTGACTGAAATGCAATCCCACGTTCTAGACTTCCTGTGTACCTGTTTAATGCTTCAAAAAGCTCATTGACGTAACTTCTTGAAGACTTTAATGACTTCTCTTTTCTGTTGGCAATATATTCTCTACTTTCAAGCCATGAAGTCCACTTGTTTCTCTTTGAGAAAATAAAATAGGAGCGGACATTTTGAAGCACTACAATGAAAGTACCTAAGTGGTTTTGCTCTTCGGCACTCGATATCTCATTCAAAAATACTTCAGATGTAAAAAACGCATTGTAAATTGAACCGGCTCACAATCTCCTCTTGAGTTTGTTAAGCACAAATACACACCATTTCATCATAAGGAACTACTTTTTCTAGCTTAACCATAAAGCACCTATCCATGGACCAAGAGAATAAATTAATTCTATTGGTCCATGACCTATCTACCTGGGAAAAGTAAACAAATGGCTTGCTCGAACGTTGTTTCCTTTAAACTACTTACTTCAAACCCTTTTTTTTCCAAAATGCGGCGCGCTGATACTTCACTCGGCCAGCCAGGACTTCAAATTAACGCGCTAATATGCCACTCAGCCTACAGTCAGTTCACCAACCTATACGTTATCATTTCACTACTCCTCGGTTGAATTTTCAATTCTACTAGATTTTTCCGTATCCGGATCACCTAATCCTGAAGTGTAATTACTATTATCTTTAGTTTCTTACCTTATATTTTTTATTCTACATCCTCATCAAATACCAAAATTATTCGAAAGCACGCTTTTTATACGTCATGTTACGTAAAGGTTTCGAATAATTTGATTTTGATGGGTCTGGTACCATTGCAGAAGGGGTGGCTGTTGTATGTTTACATGCAACAGGTTATGTTTTATGTTTTTGTTATTCATTACTTTTACTTTTTCCAGAATATTTTGATTCTCAGTAATGTATTAGAGCTTCAACAAATAGTTTTTACTTTTAAGTTTTATCCAATACCGATTATTATTTTCAACTTAGGGCTTCATTTTCTAGCTAGTAACTTGGTGATAAATCACTTGTCACACAAGTAGTGCTGCTTGGTGAGTAAAATTCATATTCTCTCCATGTCAAAAGTGTTCAATTTTTTTTTTTCGTTAATCCACGAATCCAACGACATTAACTAATCTGAATTCTTGTTTTCTTCACAAGACTATACTTGATAATCATTGGGAATAGTTTAATTAAGCGTGGGGTAGGAGGCTTCTCTGATCATGCAGACCAAATTCTTTTTTATCTCTATTGTCGTGGAATCGGCTAGAATTTATGCCTCTTTTTTTTTTTAAGTTTACGCCCATCTAGAATGCCATAGAGGATTGTCTGCTATAAATTTTCCGTGCAATGTAAATGGAAATAACAATATGGCAGACCCTCTGTTGTAGTTGAAAAGCTCGTAAACTCAGTTGGCGTAGATCCAGGTCAAGAGTGTGCAATCTCAGATTTCCATAAACTGTGGTAGAGTAAAATGCGCCAAAGAACATTCTCAAGGTGTGATTGATCATGTTCTCAAGGAAATTTTCAGGAGAGATGACTTCTCATGGAGCTTAGAGCGTTGCCTGTGAGAATGGAGAGGCCGTAACTACTCAGTTTCGTGATGTCACACTAGTAGAGTAATCGCCATGTTAACCAATCAGAGCCGCCTTGGATTGGCCGAAGTTGCATGAGGGGTGCACTTGAATCTTAGTGGGGTAACGATTTTCGGTATTTAGTTGTGTTTAGCTTTTATTTCCTCAATTATCAAAATATGTAATTTATGAACTAGGTAGTTTTCTGATGTGAAATTTGATCTTCTTTCAAAAAGGCTCTTATGAATTTTTGCATCAGAGCAACCCCTGAAAAGATGTTAGCACCAAAGGAACATATGTTTTGCGTTCTCTCACAAGAACACATGTTAAATCGCGGCCGAGTTTAATCTACCAGCATGATGTCACAGAATCGTAGTTACGGTCTCTCCATTCTCGTAGGCAACGCTAAGAGCTCTGTGGAAACCAAAAGTTTTTTGGCACATCAAATTAAATTGTAATTCTATGTATTTTTCTGTAACCAGTCACGCATTGGAGGTGCAGAACCTTAGCTGACCTAGTGAGGCCTTGCAATAGCTGCACTATTTATGTGTTGTTCATGTTTCAAGAGTTTTAAGTTACTCAAACTGTGTGTCACTCAAGTATTAACTTCTTCAAACCTCCCCTCCTTCAAACAGGAGTGGAAATGGGCTTTTTTTCTATCATTGCTATTTAAACAATGCAAAATGTGAACATTTTTTGGCACCTGTTTCTCAAGAAAGCGGGTCGATTGTTGAATCGTTATCAAATGAGTTTGATTGATAAATCATTATCTTCACAACGGTAGATATCGATCAAGGTCATTCAATAAGGATTCAACAATTGACCCGCAGGCTGGAAACCTGAAATTTGGTGGGCTTTATTACATCTTGGTGCGTAACTGGTAGCAGAATTTCCACATTTGTTCGAGAGGTTTTTTTCAAGTTTTCAATTATTTTGGAAAAGCCGGTTTTTATACGTACAATTATATAATCATTTTTTGTGCTTCAAACGAGAATAGAAAAAAATTGGGTCGACTCACATGCATAATTCTGCTACCGGTTGTGGTAATAGCCAATAATTCTTCGATCATTTGAAAAAAAAGGCAATTCTAGCTATGTTGGTTGCTGAGAAACATGTACTGAAAGTTTGCAAAGTATATTTGCCGGAAAATTGCACTGAGCCTCTTGACAAGGTATGAATTAAAGCACAATGAGACATGTCTTCTCCTCAAAATTCCACAAGGAAAACGAATCGCACAAAAAGAAGCCTGAAAATAACTTCCTGAACCAGATGCTAGTGTTTTCTATTAATACTGTTCAAATGGCAACAATACAAATGATGTCATTTGTATACTTGAACTTACATTTGATCTTTCTTGAAAAGACTTGTTAAAATCTCTTTCAGGAGTTGATTTCAAAACTCCCGGTGGTGTTAATCATTTTCTTAGTAAGATTTTGAAGAGAAAACAGGGGACATTTTCGTCTACTTCAGACCTTGTCTAGTGTCCCATTAGAGCAATGGAGGGTGGAAATAGACAGTCTCTCTCGAATTTATTCGCTAAAGCATTAACTCACAAGCTCCTTCAATTTTCTGTTCTGACTTCTTTCCGCTCTCCTCTCTTGTGCTTTCGAGTCTCTTCTTCTACAATTTGAGCTTTTGAACTTCCAGGATATGTGGTGAGAAACTACCATAATTAATTCTTGATCAGTTTTGAGGTGAAAAAATAGCAGATTCTATCCTGACATACCATCTTTTAGAAATTCATAGTAAACCAACTATTTGTGCAACATATATAATGTAGCATACCAACATTTTCAGCATTTCAACTTCTATAAGAATCAATCAAAATCTTTTTTTGTTTGGACATCCTTCTCACTGTAAATGACGATGCATTAAGCATTCAATAAGTGAGCTTGAACCTTACAAAACATTGCTCCTTTTATGATGCTGATTGTTGTGCTCATGGAGGTACTATGTGAATAACTTGATGTAAAATTCACTATTGTTTTGATTGATTCCAGAAGGAATGTCTATGTAGTGGAGAAAAGACGAGTATGGCGACTGTTTTAAATCCCACTGAACTCGGACTGGCTCAAATTAAGAGTGAGCCCCCCGACTCGGAATTCTGTGATGCTTCATCGCTGAGCCCCGTCCTTGGAGTAAAGGAAGAATTGGTACCTGAGAGCCAAGAGTGCATCAGTCAACTTGTGAGTCCTCCACCTTCCCTCACTTCTTGTGTCAAAATGGAGCACAGTTGGTGGCATTGTGACAACGAAAGCACTGCAATCCTAAGTAACTCTTCAGATAGCCAATCCTCAAGGCAGACTCAACAATGTCTAATGTCTCCCGCCAGGTTTCAAAATACACCCCTTAATAATTTTGAACAATCAACAGATAATTGTAATTTAAGTGTCACGCATTTAGGAGATGCCCCCGAAGAGTCTGCGGATACTCCATCGAAATCTTCCCAGTTACCTCAACCTTTGAGTGCCTTCAAATTTAAAGAGGTTTCTGTAAAGCTTTTCAATATCTTCCCTCATAGAGTTCCGCGGGTTGGCAAAGTTCAATCTATGCTCAGGCCGAAAAACACAATTTCTAAACAATCAAAAGTTGATCAACGCTCAAGTGCGTTAAAATTAAAAAATGTCTCTGTAAAAATAGTGGATATTTTTCCATTGGAAGTTCGAGAGTTGGGTAAAGCGCATTCTAATAGCAAAACGTGTGCCTGCATATTCTGTCGAAGAGATTACAAATGTTCCTCTGTGTTAAGGAATCTAATGTTTACTGATAATTCTAGGTCAAATGTGAGTGACTTATCGACAAAAATGGAAAAAACATCGCGTAAATTGGTCAATGCCAGAGCACTAAAAGATCGAGCCTCAGTTGAACTTAACGAGCATTGTCAGAAGTTTGCGGAGGAAGCCACCCGACATAATAATCTGAAGAAGCATTATACGAAAATATCACACAATTTTTCTCCGCTTTCAGTTAAAGTAAAAAAGACAGGTACACTGAGCCACCAAAATAGTGAATCTTTGAATGGGACTAAAAAAACTGAAGGATCTGACAAACGAAAATTTGCATGTAAACTATGCTCCATGAGTTTCAAAAAATACACTTCATTAGAAAAACATATGGTAGTTCACAGTAAAGAAAAGCGATTTGTTTGCGATTTCTGTCCCAAAAAGTACGTTCAACGATCCACGGTAAATTTTCACATGAGGTTAAAGCATCTGAGGGAAAACGATCCTACGAGAGAGGAAAAGTATAAATGCAATTTTTGTGCAGCCAAATTTGCAACCAGGAGCAAATTTACAGAACATGCTAATTTAATGCATCAAGATAAACGGCCTTTTAGATGTAACGCTTGTCAGTCTACTTTCCTTCAAAAATACCTTCTCGTTAATCATGTCAAGCTATGCCATCTTAAGGAGCGACCATTCAGTTGTGACTTTTGCGCCATAACATACCAGTCTTCTCATAGGTTGATGCACCATTTGGATACAATTCATCACAGGGAAAATCCTTTCAAATGTAATCTTTGCTCAGTCAAATTTGCTAGAAAGCACCAACTCAATGCTCACATTGAAGAAAAGCACCTGACGAAAAAAGTATATCGTTGCAACTTGTGCCCCGCAGAGTATAAGCAAGTAGGCCACTTTAAAGCACATGTGAAAATCAAACATTTAGAAGGAAAAGCCAATGGTCCTAATCTATGTAAATTGAATACTGAGGAAAAGGAAAAGAGAAAGAAGGGAGGAGTTCAAAAGGAGGAAGGTTCCAAGGAAAAAAGAAAAAAGGGAAGAGTTCAAAAGGAGGAAGGTTCAAAGGAAAAGAGAAAAAAGGGGAGAGTTCAAAATGAGGAAGGTTCCAAGGAAAAGAGTAAAAAGGGAAGAGTCCAAAAGGAGGAAGGTTCAAAGGAAAAGAGAAAAAAGGGGAGAGTTCAAAATGAGGAAGGTTCCAAGGAAAAGAGTAAAAAGGGAAGAGTCCAAAAGGAGGAAGTTTCAAAGAAAACGAGTTACAGATGCAAAAGCTGTCCTGGAAAAACATACTCTACTAAATCTAGTCTCCAAAGACATGTTCTAGCGGTACATCTCGGGATGAGATATGGTTGCTACATGTGCCCATCAACATTTCAGGAGAGATACAAAATGCACTTTCATGTAAAGATGGTACATTTGAAAGGAAAATAGTTCTGTTGTGACCTCTTATCTGCAATCTTTGGAAATCCAAGCAATTTTCACTGTCCCATTCATAAGCGACAAATACATTCAAGAAAATTGGAGTCATCCAGGAAATTTTTTAGCTGTTTGTTCGAACTTTTTCAATATTTAGGTAGGAAGTAATTTGTACACCTGGAAGTCAAACTGTTGACATTTTCAACTTCAAATTATTTTTGGAGTAATTTTTCAAATTCACAAGAGATCAGAGTTCATTTTTTAAAAACATTTGCAGTGCCATCCCCCTGTATTTTCATTTAAATGCTTAATTTGAACAGTACACATGGCATTCAAAGGTTCACATGTTACTGAAAGTCCAACAATTTTCTCATTGAATGTGAGATATTTCAACAATGCTCAACAAAAAAAATTTCCCTGTTTTATTAATTTAAAAAACGAGGGCTCTCTCGAAAGCTGAGAGTTTGATGGTAAAGACTTTTTCGCCGCTTTCGTTTATTTTTATTTGTTTTGGAGAAATTAAAAAGAAATACTAACTTTACTAATGCCCCTCATAATTGTTTACCCATAATTATTGAGTATTTTGTGAGGTTGTTTCGAAACATTACCATGGAAAGCTTTGGTTTATTTATATATCGTATATTATTGGCTGAAGTACAAAACCATGTATCTGGTGTTTCTATCTGCTCCTATTATATTTTTTTGAATAAAAATAAGGCAACTTCAGGTATAGCCTGAAATTTTTTCAGAACACTCTGCTTACAGGAAAAAAATCAAGGAAGTTTTCGAGAAATTACATTGCCTAGTTTTTTAAAGATGCAGTAAAGTATGTCAGAAAACCTGTAACATTGCAAACGGAGGTACAAGGTTTTGTACTTTGGCCATCGATATATTTATATTTATACTTTCTTATTTATGCATTTGCAGTATTGATTTTGTATGTTTTCATTTGTTTCTACAAATGTGTACAGAGTATTAAATTTCAACCTGCTGCACTTTTTTGTACCATTTAAAGAGACCTCGTCACAATCAGTCTAACTGCATTTATCGCTGCCTAATCTTCCCTCTCTCTTTTTTTCTTAACAGAGAGGTGAACCTCTTACTTCCTTTAAATTTTCTGTGAATTTATTCCGAATTATGAAGAATATGCTTATGAAGTTTCAAGTTTCGTTTTTGCTTGGTTTTCTAATAGATAAGTGGATTTGTAGATAGGCCGATTAAATTATTCCGATTAATTTATTCCGATTAAATATGTCTATTTTCTCAGCTCTTTCTCACTCTGAAGTGAATTTTCTTCACACTGAAAGATGTTGAAGTAAGTATTAATTTTTCTCACTTCTAAGCTCTCCCTAAACTATTTTCTTAAAATTAGTGTACAGATGTTGTAAAAATCACCCAAGTACAAACTAGTAGTATTAAATGTCATTTAATACAAAATGAAGTTTAAAGTGACTTCTAAAAGGAAAGAGGATGATAATCTAATATTATATTGCCTAGTCTCAGAGGAATTATTTTTTCTTGGAAGTCGGAAAGTGAACCCATTTTGTATAATTATTGAAAGCCCCGAGTGAGAGTAGGTATCCTTAATTTTAGCAGAGAACAGTTCCTGAATTTTACATTTTATATTTTTACTCACAGCAATTAAGCTCTCATTAAAGAGATAATGATAAGATTAGTAGATTTGCCACTATGCGTATGACGCAGTCAGAAATAATGTCTGATGAGACCATCACGTACGGTAAATATGTAAAATGAAGTACAAATTGTAATGTATCCTCAAATAGAATATATCTACAATTGTTAAAAGTATTTTTATCAATGTATGAACCACCCTGAACATTCTTGACTGTGTCGTGCCTTTATTAGGTGATAGAAACGAATTTTCCAAAAGAAAAATTAGCTTCAACCAAGCTGCAAAATAGTATTATATTTAGCACTTATATTTAGCATTTAAATTTTCAGATGAATTCTTCAGTGAAAGCTGCTTTACCAATGGCATCTAATGGTGAAATTAAAACCAACTTTTTATTTTTTTAATACTCATACTTCTATTCGTAATGTGTGTACATCTCTATGTGTCGTTTTATTTTTAACTGAAGAATCTAATTACACACTTTGAGGAATCTACATTATATGAGGTTTATTCTTTTTCTCTCCCTCTATTTCCTATAGTTCTGTGAATTTTATTGAAAAATTACCGGTCAGTTTAATAGAAGAATAAATCGAAAGAGAGCTTTGTGGACTGACAGTTTTTCAAAACTGATGCTGAGGTCGAAGTTTCTCTTTTTCATCATTGAAAATATATGAATGAGCAACTGACCATATTTGGGCACTCTATGATCTGTGGACTTAATAACTTGCCAACTTACCAGCCAGCAGTTTGCTCAGTTGTAAATTTTTTTTCCCCCAATTGATAAAATCCATTTCTTCATATTCTAAGGTCACACACTGAAGTATCTAAAAACGTTAACCTGCAGGCCAATTATTGAAAGCTTAAAGCAGCCCGATACAACATCGAATTGCAATATATTGCATGGTTAAAATAGGGCTATGTCTTGTTGTATTGTATCGACATAGTTTCAATAATCGGGCCACTGGACATAGGTATATGATGGCCTAAGTGCAGAACCACACATCTCTGTTTGCGACGTTGCAAACTTTCTGCCATACTTAATTTTTTCTTTGGAAAACCATTCAACATAATTTTCCGATAACTTCTTTAATTGGAGTCGGTTAGTTTTTCTCCAAGAAAACAAGATAGGAGGCAAAATTTTGAAACATCACAAGGGAGATTCTTGATTTTGCATTTCGGCAATTGATATAATATACCAAATGAAACCATGGGCTGCAAGTGTATAAAATCACAAGGAACCATGAACCACGTGAATACCCTAAATTGCCGACCTGATTGATAGATAAAATTGAACTTCTTTTCTTGAATTTAGAAATTCAGCCACAGGCATGTCTACCTGAAATGAGGACTGTATATCGTCACCATTCGACCTGAGTATCAAAAATAGTGTATCTTCCCTTCGGAAAATACACTAAAAGCGCCAGGTAGTATTTTTCAATGTAAGAATTGCAATTTGATTGATATTGAATTGCAATTTTCGGACAACAAATGGTCTATTTTCTGCGATCGCTGCGATAAAATCGTGACGCAAAATTGCAATTAAATTACGATTAATTTCGATTTACAGTGTTGCCTAAACTCAATTAAAACATCCGAAACAACCGCCGTTGCCAAATTTCATCGAAAACGGCGCATTTTACAGTGCCGAAACGTGCGAAAAATCCGATTTTTCTGAACGTTGCCACATTTTATCGGATATTTCCGAATTTTCCACAATTGCCATTTTTATCAACAAAAAAAATATGGATTTACAAACATTGACAAGAGTAATGAAATTTTAAGGAAAAATTTGAATTTTTCAACATTAGAAATTCATTGAAAATGTACTTTACACTGAAATAGCATAATTGTTTTTTTAAAGCAACTGCATTTTTAAGTTCTTCTAATTCTGGAAAAATCCAAATTTATATACTAGTACCAAACAAATTAATGAATTACAGTATATGAGTGGAAAATAGAATGCTTTATATTTCTAATAATTCTAACAATACAATAATCAGTTTCACTGTTTGCACCAATGCTGCAAACTGGTAATTTAAAATAACAAATTTCAACAGTTAAACTTAACTTAAAATTTTAAATGCAGACTTGTGAAACTGCAATAATTACCGTGATATTATTGTGATATACTTAAAATTTGATGAAGTAGAGGGTAGGCAATCCGCACTACACACGGCAAATTGCAATTTTTCCGCGCCTTCTAATAAGAGGATATGAAATTTCACAGCACACTACTAAATTGCAATTTTCAGACGATTTAATTACAACTTATTGCGATCCATGCTACTTGGCGTTTACTAATTTCCACCGCTATTTTATTTTCTTACAGGGAAACTGTTGGTTGAATCTGTTTGAAAATTTTACTGAATTTCATCGGCTACACAAAGAAAATTCAGTGAAATTGCTTCGGACAGCTTCGTTGAACATTTTCTCTGTAAAAAAAATAAAATGGTGGCGAAAATTTTTAAACGTCGCATGGCGCTTTGGGTAGAAAGCGCCGATATTTGCATGATAGATTTAAAGGACTAAAATTTCCGATTATCCTTTGTGCAAGCGCTTTTTTTTCTTTCTTTTTAATTCAATGGAGACAACGCAAACATACCCAGTGGCAGTTCTTTCACTTCATGCGTACCGCAGTTTCGTATTTTCGCGCGAGTGGAACGTCTATAAGGTGCGCCAACTTTATAATAAGAGAACCTGATTCCTATGTTCTACCGTCTACAAATCATTAGAAATCGGGTATTACTATCGTTAGAAATTTCGTCAACTTTCTAACACAGGTTTTGCTCGGCTGATTTGAAAATGTTTGAAAGTTGGACCATATATTGCGAGCCGGCTTCGTGACCGAAGGAAATATTTTCACCCTGGAAATAGTAGATGGCACCCTGAATTATATCAAGCCCTCATTGGCTGCCTTTATCAGTATTCAGTATTCGACTTGACTCTGAGTCTCTGATCGCGACTGTTGGACTGTTGGACAGTGGACTGTATCATAGAGAAAAAAAAGGAGGTGTTTGCATTTCGGGCATCTTGGAGTATTTTGATGACTTGATGACGTAGGTGGGTACAGCTGGGTACAGGGACGTCCCCTTCACACTGTACCCACCTACGTCATCAAGTCATCAAAAAATTCCAAGATGCCCGAAATGCAAACACCTCCTTTTTTTTCTCTATGGGACTGTATTGTTTTCATGTTTTCATTCAATATAAGGCATGCAACAAGTGGTGTATTCATGGTGAATTACGATTTTTTTCAGGATTTAGTACCTACTTCTCAATAATTTAATTTCAGTTTAACAATTCGTACGAATGCTCGGAAGCTGACGACAGGGGTGAGAAAATTAGCCATTGTTTGGTAGGTATTGTTATTAATACCTGTTTGGGCCAGACGTTTGGAAAAAATCTTCCATTTGAATCTTTTGAAATCCTAATGTCCAGCGGGGCGATTATTGAAATGATATCGACTCTATGTTGCCGCTTTGTCGTATCGCGCCATTGACTGAGTGGCTCTCAGTCGCAGAGCTGGATTTAGGGTTTTTGCGCCCCCCCTTCCCAGAAAAAAAAACCAATTAATTTAATAGGTTACTATTATCGATTAAATTGGAATCACGTTGACATCTTCTTGGCAAAGTCATCATACTCCTAATTCTAATGAATTATAAAGAAAAATATATTTTGCCTCCCAGTGCATAGGTGTAGTTAAGGTGATTCGACGGACGCTTTTTTTTGTGTCAGAAGGACATGGGGTATACCGTATCGGTTTGTTCCATAATTTCAGCTACTTGTCATTTTTTTAAAGTTTGAGGTCACATTTCTGTTGTCATGAGACTGAAGAATTCATGTACCGAACTTGACATTTGTCAAGTTCAACGAAATTCAACGTAATAAAGGTGTGGTTTTTTAGAGGAATAATATCGCATTCGATACTGTTATTGAAACTGCAGTCGAATGCGATATTTTTCCTCTAAAAATGCTGCGCCTTTATTATGTTGAATTTCTTTGTCAAATTTGGTACATGAATTCTTCAGTCTCATGGCAACAAAAATGCGGTTCAAAAAACATGACAAGTAGCTGAAGTTATGGAACGAATCGATGCAATATATCGCACATCGCTCTGACACATAAAATGGCGTCTGTCGAATCACCTTATTGCACTTGCCTAAATCCGGCTTATTTCCCAAGGTTTCCTTCTATTCTAACCAATTTTAAGTAAAATAGATTCTAGGCATTTGCTTAACGCATGCATTGTTTAAATTCATGACTCATTTGAGTGTTTACAAGGACTGTTTATCAGATCATATCTGTGTGCTTTCTGACTCTCTGTGCCCGAGATAAGAAAATCTGATAGTGTGTACTCAATGTAAGTAGGATTTCAATTCATGTCAGCTGTAAACGCCTAAAATATAAGACATTTTGTCCTCAGTAAATCGCTGATTAGGTGTCTAAGTGGACTGTTGTTAAACTACGCACAGGTATTCTTCTTAATACTTCTAATTAAACACGAGTGAATGAAAATGGCCGAAGTACAAAATTTTGATACCAGCGATGAAGATTAGTGCTAAATGAGCACGGTACTGGTGTAAAGGAATTTCATCTTATTTTCCTCTTCTCAATGCTTTCATGTCCCTTGTTTTTCAGGCAGCATCGAGGTGAGTTCAGTCGTTATTTGTGGTTTCAATTTGGCACTAGAATATTCAAGTGGAGATGGTAGTACACAGAGATACAAATGCATACAGGCAAACAGATATAGTAACATTCATATTCTATGGAAGCTGGATCTTTGTCAACAACTATTTGGTGAGGAAACTGATCTTTCTTACAATCTTCTGACAGGGGTGAGTGCTATAGGGCCGTGAACTCCTGTAAGAACCAATTTAAAAACTTGTGAGCAGTTTCGAGTGCTGCAACATTGTGCAGTATCCTCGCTACGAATTGATTTCAGACGTCATGAAAAATCCATAATATCATGAACATATGCCTTCAATCGGTCCTGGTCGAACTTGAAAATGAGCGCGACGCAGCTGAGATGGAAAAGCAAAGAAATTGTCAATACTTTTGATAATTCAGCTGTCGTACGGCTCATTTTTTATCTACTGGCTCAATCTTACTTTTAGGAGGGACATCAGATGGGTGCAGGTTCAAGGGAAAAGATCGTCTGAGTTAGGAAGAATTTCACTCAAGGTTGTGTTGTAATTGGCTGTCATATCAGTGAATTGTCCCACAGAACTCGTCCCTGCTGCCGATAAAAACAACTAAAACTTTATACAACTTTAAAAGAAATATTTCAGAATTGCTACTCGTTTGCTGTAAATTAGAATAAATGCCAAAGAAGTTGACATGAGTGAGAACAAAAACCTCTCATCTTTATTTTTACATCAAAACTGAGTCGAGTATCCGCAGAGGTGCTGCCTTTGCCCAATCTCACAATCTGAAGATTTTGACGAATGTGAGGCAAATCTTGAACGGTAGAACTGATCTCTCATTTTGTTGGGTAAGTGAGCATTTTGCTTTAAAATTGGATGTCTGAACATGAGGCAAATCGGCATCGTGCCTCTGTATAAAAATGCAGCATTGCAGCAAAAGGTCGGCGTTTTCAAATTTTCTGCACCCCTGGGTGTCCAATTAGTCTTGTCATCAACCCTCATATGAGCAACAATTAAAACTAGGAACAGGCAGCTCTCCAAGCTGTAAGATCATTTCATTAGCTTCCCAATGCAACCTTGTTGAGCCCATTTTGTCAAAAATTCGCCAGTGCATAGCAATTTTTAGATTATGAATTTACGGTACTCATTGATAAATTTTCAGACCTTGCTATCAGAGAGACAAAAGAAAATAGAAAACAAAATACTAAGAACTGGAAATCATATGTGAATGTCTTGAATTCAATGAATTTTACAAAATATTATGTAATTTTTTTATTTCTACAATCAACTTAACTTGCCAGAGAAGAAGCGTTTGTTTTGAAAGCTCCTTTAAGTCAGCATTTATTTCTATTTTACTCTCTGTTTGCTAAGGTATCAGGAAACGGGGAAAAAAGTTTGCATCAAGAATTGCTCTGATACACTGACGGATTTCCTTGACGCCATGCAAAAGTTAAGGCTCCCACACCAGAGCATGTCCCGTACCCATATTCTCACAGCCTTTCTGTGTTGTAAAGATTTATACCTACTTCCTTACAATTCATAACATTCCTTTGCAATGTCATCGTAAACAGTAGAAGACTTGCAATCATCATAAGAGAAGACATTTATAACAAAAGTACCCAAGTGCATTAACCTACAAAACTTTGTTTCACAGTGTTTCACCAAACAGTATAACTCTCTCGAGAGAAAATAATTCGTGGTCGAATGAGCCAATGAGAGCCAAAATGAGACATCAGTTTTAGACTGAATCCTATACGCTTATTGGTGAAATCACCAACTTTCTTGTCATAAAGAAATTTATGTCGCGTAGAATATAGTCGGGAGCCAACAACTTCTTTCTCGGCGATGAGTCGCTGCTGTTTGCAGCAGTGTCTTTTTAAACTGGGCCAAAATAATTTGCCTTTAGTCAGACATTCAAACGTTTTCAAACGTGTAAATATATTTAGCTTACATTCTACACTAAAGCATTATTTTTCTAACTCAGTAAGTACAAATGAAAAATTAATCTGCCTTCAAGTGCCCTCAAGGTGCTGATTTCTAAGTGTTTCAATATTTCACCAGAAAAATTAGAGTCATCGATTTTTACAGAGAGCAATTCCATAGTGACAGGACTATTCCATGCATAGTCAGGTTTATAAGATAGTCTTACAATCTTTCATATTAAGGTGAGATACCTTTCGATACCAAGGTCAAACCACTTCATTTACATCCCGGAAGTTAACCCCACGGTTGAACATCGGCACGAAGCTTTTGCGTTTGCGTTCACTCAGTGACATCCTCTCACCAAGACCCTTCTGTAGAAGAGCAAAAAATATTAGAGTCTTACTGGATAAAGGAATCTGTCCACTTATTACCATTGAAAAGTACAAAGAGATCTTGGCGAAATTCAGTATTTTCAATTGCGCAATGACGCAACTCCTTGTGACTTTCCTGATTTTGAATGGGTTGTACACCATTTCTTATATTCTGCTAAATGTTAATTCCAGCAAAATAATCAATTGGCAAAATCAAATCCAAGACATAATGATATTGATAAAAACTGTTGCCATCTTAGGTAGAAAATCAATTTTTCTAGGTATGTGACATCTTCTGACATGTATTGAATAAGAGTTTGGATTTACCTAAGGGGCACTGATCCGTAAAATCAAATTTTTCAGGTACTTTACACAACTTGATGAACATCTAACAGTGTGGAGCTTGGTGCTTCAACAATGTCGATCAAGAGGAGATAACCCCTCTGCTGCCTCTGCTGAGCAGTGTAACATTAAACTGAAGGAGGATTGGTCGAAAGAAAGCAGGAGTAGGAAATTTGTGCCTTTTCCAGCAAGTTCATCAACTGGGTCTAATGAGGACATTACAAAAGATGTCATTCTCCATAACGTGAAGAAGGAACCTGAACTAAGCAACATGGTATTTGGGTTGGTACAGCCAGGAGATCCCTCCAATCTGGTAGAAAAGAATACTATTCCCATGATAAAAAATCATGAAGCATCACGAGAGCTGGTCAGTCTCCATCACTTTGAGAGTTCTGCTCTGAATGAGCCTTCTGATGTTTCACCAGATCTAATTTTTCCAAGCTTGAAATTTGAGCCAAGTGAGTTGCAAAGTGACGAAAGCACTCTCTCAGGGTCCGATAGCTTGAATAATTTGAAGGTTTCAGCCCTTGAAATGGAGGGAAAATTAGATGAAAAACCGAACGTAACGCACGAGTTAGTGTCCTGTTTACCAGCTGGTGAGAGAGAAATGAAACCACTACTCCAGACAGTGAAAACAGAGATCAATACCGCATCCAGCGATGGAGAACACCGTCAGGATGTGGGGTTTAATATGGATGATCATAAATTTGCGTCTCCTGAACACCCTTTGAGAAAAAAAGACCTTGAGACAGATGCTGGGTCAAACGTTTACTACGATCGAAATTGTATACGATTAAAAGATTTCTCAGTTGTCCTTGAAGATATTTATTTGAAGGACACTTGGAGAGTTAGTAAAAATGATCATCATGATGGGCCTTGCTCACATGAGAATTGTCGAAATGGATCTTATCTGGGCAATTCAAGATCGAAGTTACCATTCAGAGCAGAGAGTGATGCAGTCATCTTGACCCCAAATACACATACAAAAGAAAGCAAGAAAAAGCGAAGAATACAGGGTGCTTGTGATATTTGCTCATATGTTTTTAAATCTGGGCCGCAATTTAAGAAGCACATGTTGACACATGGCGTCAAGAAACCATTCAGCTGTAATCTTTGCCCAGCGAAGTTCAGCAGGTCTGATAATGTCAAGTCTCATATGATGAAGCATAGTAAATCTCGACCATTTCAATGCAGTGAGTGTCAGGCAAAGTTCAAGACCAAATGTACTCTGCGCCACCATTTAGAGGTACATAAAGTAGTGAAGCCACCACCGGTAACGCCAACATGCCATATATGCTTCATCAAGTGCAAAAGTAACTATGTGCTGAAAGTCCATTCACGAATTCATACTGATGAAAGACCCTACAGCTGCAACTTTTGTGACGCTTCGTTCAGACAGTTAAGCTCTCTTCAGTCCCATAAAGTCACTCACCTAAAAGAGAAGCCGTTCAGTTGTGACATCTGTGGAGGCAAATTCTCACTGAAGAGGAATGTAGCTAAACACATTCGAGAAGTGCACAATAAAGAACGACCTCACAGTTGCGATATTTGTTCTGCAACATTTTCGCATCGTGGAGCTGTAATAATTCACAAAGAGACCCACCATAGTAAGGAACGGTCTTATAAGTGCAATTTATGCCCAGCTGCGTTCAAAACAAAGGGAGGATTATATGCACACTCACAAACTCACAATGAACATAGACCTTTCAAGTGTGAGCACTGTCCTGCATCATTCAAGGCCAAAAGGACTTTGAAAGAGCATCAGATAATGCACACTGGTGAAAGATCATTTGTTTGTAGTATTTGCTCGCTCGCATTCCGATGGGAAAGCAACTTGAGGGATCATAAAAAAACACATTCTACTGAAAGACCATTTAAGTGTGAGTTTTGTACCAAACGATTCAAGACAGTAAAGTTGTTAAAATGTCACACAATGACGCATAATGATGAGAAACCATTCCAGTGCGAGGTTTGCTCAGCAGTCTTCAAAATTCGTAGAAACTTAAACTCTCACATGGTGTCGCACAGTGAAGCGCGGCCTTTTAAATGTGATCTGTGTCCTGCTTCTTTTAAGACAAACAACGTTCTAAAGTCTCATGTTCAAAATTGTCACAATGCCAGTAATGAAAGACCTTTTGAATGTGAGCTTTGTTCTAAAAAATTCAAACAAAAACAACATCTGAAGGGACACATGAAGGAGGTTCACACCACTGATCGACCATTTAAGTGTAGTCTTTGCCCTGTCGCATTGAAATGCAGGAAAAATCTTACGATCCATATGCGAGTTCACACCGGAGAAAAACCTTTTAAATGTAACCTGTGCCCAGCAACATTCGCGCAAAGCGGTGCGGTGAAATCGCACATTCAGGCTGTACATAGTGATGAAAGACCCTTCAAATGTGTACTATGCCCGAAGCAGTTCAAGTGTGCTAAAAGCGTTAGACTTCACACAATGACGCACAATGAAGCAAGGCCTTTCAAATGTGAGCAATGCTCAAAAAATTTCAAGTGCCTCAGAGATATTAGGCACCACATGAAAACGCATGCCATAGCTTGGAATTTCAAATGCCACCTCTGCCAAGCCAGGTTCGTTGAAGCAAGTCAGCGCGAAAAGCATGTACTGGAAAAACATGGAGGGAAACGCTACACTTGTGCGCACTGTCTTGGTACATTCAACTGGAAGTTTAATTTGACGGTTCACTTAAACAATACGCATCCAGAAGTCGCTAGTTAGACATAGTACCCTTCTGTAACCTAAGAAGAGAGCAGAAGATTGGCAGAAAAATTAGCAGTGTTCAATTTTATACTTTTAAATTCTTAGGAAGCATTTAGTGTAAGGCTTTATGAAAGTTTACTCATGGAAAATCTTTTATGATATCTACTGTTCAAATATTAAAATGTAGGCAATCCTTGTTCTTTACTTCCCACTGCTCAACCCTTCAGAAAACTTAGCAAGTGTGCAAGAAGTGGTAGATTTTGAATTTGAACTCTAAAGTTGAAATTTATACGGATATCATTCTAATTTTAAGGACCCAAGTTAAATACTTAACCCTTTTAAGTAGGTAATTTTCAGCAGAATCAAGTACTTTTTCAACAATACGTTTTAAATTTTATGTCCAAATACTATGAGATATGCGAATTTAAGCAGTCTGTTGAACCTAGCAACTTTTTGGTACTAGGCAATGGAAATGGCATTTTGCGATGCCGTGTTAGTAATCATCAAAAATAAGGATATAACGAAAATCTAACTTTTTGTCACCAACAAAAAACATAGGTCCAGAGCCTTGTTGTGAGAAGAAAAGAAAGAAAAGAAAAAAAAATTAATGTAAACTCCAACTAAGAATTAGGTTACGAAGCCTTAAGATAGCGAAACAAAGGGCATACATATTGACAAAGCCCTAATTTCATTACATCTGTGTTTGTTCCTTAATTTAATATTTGATCATCAATAATCTTACCTCTCAAAAATTTAACTTGGCCACTGAAAGTAAGGTTTGCTGGACTGGAAAATTTTTAGGTGAAGTTTAAGCTGTGAATGTTTATTTCCATAAAATGCTTCATTTCACTGTTATCTTAGTCTCAATCATGTTTAAAGGTAGACAATAGTATTTAAATACATTTTTTGAAGTACCCTGAAGTTTGGAAGCTTCTGATTGGTAGAATGTAACATGCCTCTTGACCAATCAAAAAGGAGGATAATTAAATTTCAAATCACATAAATTACAACGTTTCGTCAAATTTTAAAGCAAGAGAAATTTTGATGAAAATATGATAAGACTTTCTTGTAAAAATGGCTCCATTATGGTAGCAACTGACTATGAAATCATTATTCCTTTCAATTTGAACCAAGGACTTGGTAGTTTGGTATCGGATTCTTCTCACTTATTTCAAGATAAAACTCTTTTAGTTTTAAAATTATATAGGTACTGAATTTTTTTGTCAATTAATTATGTAATCCCCTCCCCCCCCCAAAAAAAACTAAAATCTTAGGTCCCTACATAAATAATATTTGCTGAGGTTATCATTTTACTTAAGTTTTAAGTCATCAGTTCTCACAGATGTCCACACCAAATAAGTGTAAGCACTTTTAGAGTGTAACAGGAGAATTGCCACCATGATGCTTTTATTTACGTACAGTGCTTATCCGAGGACAGCTGACCTTCTGGAGCACTCTAAAAGTGTGCACATTCATTTGGAGTGGGTTCATTTAACCACTCTGGATGTTTTACTTCCTCTTCTTTTTTTTCTTTTCTCAAAAGAAAAAAACAAAATTTTGGTGGAGGTAACTATGACTGCTGAGCGGTAGTCTCCAAAAAGCAGGGACATTAGCTTTAAGTTATCGTTGAGTGTCAATAACCTTTGTTCTTGCAATGACAATAGGAGAGACTTAGGTTCTCCGAAAATATTTTTAAATTTTGCAGTCTAAAACATTGTGTATGATTCTTTTCATATGAATTGCTATCGTATGTCCACTTTATCATGAACATTTTTGCAATAAAAGATGTGTATTAAACTGGAGTTAAATTTAAAACCTACTAAGCATTCAATTCCTGTTCTCCAAACTCAGCTTGCCTATTGCGCCTTTTCATTAGGTACGAAAACTGCTCACAATAATTTCTCTCATCCAGTTACGGCTCAGTCTTGCATAACTTTTGAGTAATTGTTATCAAACACTTTTAAGAGGAGCTTTCTCATGGTCGTAGCCATTTTTGTAGATCTCAAAGTAGGGCTCTTCCTGGATGCAACATTTAAATGAAGAGTTGTGGGACCTTTCCGACTGGCAACAGCTCATTCAACTCTCAACATATTTTAGGATCAATATTATTATCATTTGTGATGGCGTCAGCCAATGTGACTGAATTATAAATATTTTCTATTTTTGTATGTAATGCTCTTTCAAATCTAAGATTTGTAAAAATGTAACTTTTCACGTGAGCATTTCGAAAAAATGGGGGCTAGTAAATAAATTTGTCAGAATTTTTACGCAGGTCTTTGTAAAAGAGATATAATTATAGACGTTCGTTTAGAAACTGCACAACAATGCATCGCATACTTTATGTTGTTGGAGAATTTTCTTCTCAGCAAAGGAACTGAAGAATGTGACAGTGCATGTTTATTCTTTCTCTCTAAATGCTCAGCAGCTGAACCATTGAAATTTTGAATTTGTCAACTGCTGGACAAGATAATGAGGAATAGATTTTTGTGATTGGCTGGTTGTGCCCTCCTTAGTTTTGACTTGTCCAGTCGACAAACGCAAAATTTCAAAAGTCATTTCGTTGGGAGAACAGTTCTTGATCACCAATCTAATGTTTTGACTTTCCAGCCAGAAAATGCCTACCTATACCAGCGCTGAAAAATGCACTTATTGCCCTTTTTTTCCACCAATGGAGAATTTGCATGCAAATTTTTTATTACTTCATCTGAACGTGCTTAAAGAGCTGATTTCACAGTATTTTTAATAATTTTTTTCTGGTATGGGAAATAGTATAAAAATAGATTTAAAAGTGAGAAAATGCACCGCCTAGTGACGTCATCTGGAGGCATTTCCCACTTAAACACACGTATTTTAGCAGATTAGATCGTATTGTCATATCTTCTCCAATAATTGTGCAATTCATGAACCATGGATATCCTCGTGTTCAGTTCACTCAGTAGTTTCCATTTGAACACTAAATTCATCAAATTTCAGACACCTGCAAATTCTCTATTATTGCAAAGGAAGTCGGATTTTTAAAGCTAATTGAGCTCAGGAGCTCATGAAATTCAACTGATCAAGGATAACCAAATTTAGCCGGATCCTACCTCAGTTTTTAGGTGATTTTCGTACTTAAGTCGAATTCAGGGTGTATATTTTTTGTAACTAATAGCAGGTGTGACATCTTGGGACGAGTAAACTTTAATGGTGAATCCTGACTTTCAAGTCAACAAATTATAAACAAGCTCTCGGTAGGACGGATCGAAATTGAAGGCTATATGCCAGAAGACTAGAAACTATCAGTGCTTATAAACTTTTCGCAATCCAGTCTATTGCAACTCTCAGAAGTACTTTGAAATTAAACTTGGTCGTGGAGGATTTTTGCCTTGAAGTGGTACCCTTAGTTCCTTCGCGATTTATTTTTCTTTATTTTTTTGTTTCAGTGATGAAATCAAGATTAGGTAATTAGTTTTTCTTGAATCCCACTCGGATACACTAAATCAAAGTGATGGATTTGGAGACAGCCCAACCAACGGCTCCAGAAATCAGTGATGCAAAAACTCTGGAAAAATCATCCTCTACTACTCTTGCTAGTAGGTATGGTCGCACAAGAAAACCAAATGTATCACCTGACTTTGTGGCCCTCGGCAAAAATGTTAGAAACTCCCTCTCACCCAGCACTTGTGCAAGCGTTACAAACGGTGAAGCTCCTGACCCATCAAAGCAACAGCCGGTCTCGCAAAAGCGAGCAAACACTTCATCTAACAGGCTTCCCGATTCTGAAACTCCTGGAATGGTGGGAAATGGTGAAATTTCCATCAAGACTCCTGAAAGCTCATCAAAGGCTGGGAACCATAGAGGTAAGAGAAAAATCTAAAGCTCCCTTCCAGGTGAAACAGTTTCAGATACGACACCTAATTGTTTGCTTGAAGATAGAGCAATAGTTGAAGAGACTACTACGGTAACGTTTCGTGTGCAATGTAACAAATTTTTAAGAGCAGCCCGAGACAATGGTAACAGTAGAAAAACAAGGGGAAAAACGGGAAACAAGGCTAAAATACACAATTAATAATAACCGAGACATTTCGGCTCAAAACTGAGTCATCTCAGTCGTAAATACAATAAAAATTTAATTTTTTATTCAGTCTCAAAAATTCAGTTTGGAGTCAATTAATCAAAATGATTCATAAGATTGATTTCGATTGGAAAGAAACACCAACATGTGTCGCAGAATTAGTGTAATTAATTGCCCATAGTAATCTAAGTAAATCAAAGTATGAAAATTATTGAAGTAACAAATGAGCCAGCATAAAGAATCGATACTTACAAGCCAATAGACAGTAAAATAGATATTTTTTCTTTCTGATCCGCGTAGAGATTTGCGATACTTGTGCATCACTCTAAACCTAATGGTGCCTGTCATTTGACATGAATTCGCGAAGTATTCCTGCCTCTAAAAAAGAAGAGAAGGTTATAAAAACTTCTGAAACTGGAGAGACTGTAGCAAGAGACGAATGAAAAAACGTGGAAAGCTACTGCATGAAAATCTTGAACGTTTGAATTTTCTATATCCCATCAGTAAACTCACGCCATGAACAAACAAGAGTGGGAGAGCACCTCCCAAATTTAAAACAAAGAAATTGATGTAAAGTCATGGCCTTCGGCACTTGTACCTACTCATCATAAAGGAAAAAAATTTCATTCGTGTTAAATCTTTCCTTTCGGAGTGACGTGTAGAACAACACATATCAGAACTCGAAGTTGTATGCTTTTATTTTGATGATTTGCCTTCTGGAGTTTTCGACCCTGTCCTTGTGCATTTTAAAAGTCATTAAATTATGTTAACTTAAAAGAGAGTTTTCAATAATCTTCTCTTTGTCTTCAGATAGCATGAAAGCTCAAGACACCAAAATCAAAGCAACACCATCTGTGACGACTCCAGCCAGTGCATCACCAACACCTACAACTCCATCAAGTTCAATAATGCCTGGCTGCGAATTTGTTGGAAATGCGGATAAAGAGTGGGCCATTGGTGACATCGCTTGGGGTGGAATGGGCAAGTTCCCCTACTGGCCCTGCATCATAATGAACGATCCTCTTTCCAAAACACACGTCTGTGAAAAAAGTTGGTATTTGGCGAAATTTTGCACTGTTGTTCAGGAAATGCTCAAACGCAAGAGCTCTGGCTCATACAAGGTGCAAGGAAATCTACCTGGGCAAAAAATTGAGTTAAAACCTCCTTTTTAAGTGAAAAACCTAAAAGAATGGGGGGAAAAAACCAGAATAGCACGCTTTTTTTAAAACTTTTTAGTTCTACATGTGTATTTGACCTTTTGGTGGAGTGAGGAATTTTTCCAGGAAGGAAAAATCTTCGAGGCTTTTACTTTGCCTAACTTTTGCTCCGTTGAACTTTCCACGCCCCTGTAATTGATTTCTATTGACACTATTACTGTTAATTATTTCCTTATTGTTAGTATTTCACGAAAATTTAAACATATACCTCTGTATATAAGACTATTAATCTTGCTTCATACTTAATTAGTTTAACTAATACTTAAAGTTACTTATTGCTAGTGAAATTTTGTAATGGTATACCCTTAAATTCTCAGTATTCTTTCCCTTCAATCGTTCAAATTTTTAATATGGATAATATGCTGAAACTTTTTCATTTTTCTTTTAATTTACTTTTTTCTTCATTTGCTGTAAAGTAATCTTCATTTTCTGTTTGTAGGTAAAGGGAGAAGCACATCTAAGTGTTATTTCCTTCAGTTCTGTGGTGATAATGGAAGACACAGCTGGCTCCCTGCGAAAAATTTATTAGAATTCATCAACAAGCAGCAGTTCTTCGATTTGCAGTCGAAAGTGCTCCAAGACGTATGTTCTTTTTTAAAACCATTTTTTCTTTTTTTAGCCGAAGATTAATTCAGTAGAATTTCAAGAACACATTCAATATAATTAACGTCACTGAAAATTATTTTCAGTTTAATATAACTTTAAAAAAGCTCAAAAAGTCCAATGAGCCAGTGAAAGCAAATCCATTTTCTGTTGCCATTCATTTGCATCGACACGGAGGCACCTGTACAAATTGCAGAAACTCACAATTAATACTTGTTTTCTTCAATTGCCCATCCTCTGTCAAATTTTAGTGTGGGGAATCAATTCCAAATACCTGATTAACTACATGTTTTGGAATTCATTGGCGAGTTTCAAAGGATCCCAGTCAATAGTGCTAAGTAACAAAATTTTATCTCTACTTATTATTACTTTAGTAAACTGATTTATAAACTCAGGACTTGACCGAAAACAACCACTGAGAAAATCACAGTGAGCAGTTAGTTTTTCCCTCCTGCCGTTAATAATTTGTGCCTGTTGTGATGTTTTGGGTAGATATTCCCCTTGGCAACATGATATCCTCCCCTTAAGGAAAATCAAATCATTCCGGTTGAAATAATTGGCATAGCGCTTATGAGACCCTTCAAAGACAGTAAATACGGTCGGCATGACGCGCAGCAAGTTAAGAACTTGAATTCTTTTTCTTGTGTCCTCTCACTGCATTCAACTCATAACTCTCTTTCACCTCTCACAGCCTCGAAAAAAAGCAACATTTGCGGTAAAATTCACACTGAGATCTCACTCCAAAGACAGTTGGGAAAATGCTGTCACAGAAGCTGAACATTTGATGTCCTTAGGAAGGTAACATATTCCTAATACCTCAGTGTCTCAGAATATGTATTTATTTACTTATTAATTTAATTTGCAAATCGGGCATTTTTATTTAAGTGTACAATACAATTACAGCTACAAACTTATTAAAAAAACTGGACTTAAAGAAAAAGAACCAAAAAAAGGATTGGAACAAAGAAAGAATGTGTGAAACAAAAGTATATCAGTCATTTGTAATGTTTTAAACTTTGCTCAACTTGAAAGTCTTCAATCATAAAAGTCATTTTCTTTTGAAGAAACATCCAGGCAGGAGAAAATCGACAGTGTAAGTCGGCAATCACATAACTCGGTTTGCGACGTCACAGACTCCCTGTTATACTTAATTTTTTAAACGGAAAACTACTCAATGGCAATTCTTAAAAACTGCAGTGATTTTTCTTCTCTGTGTGAAGAAAATTCTGCAAAAACTTCAAGGAATGATGTCAATTTGTTCTCCTATAAAAAAATAACCCAGAGGCGGAGATTTTCAGATACCGCAAACGAGATATGTGATCCCAGACTAACGCTGTCGAAATGCTTTATCTTCCTCCCAAACTTGTGTATGAAAATGAGGGAAAACCCTAAAAATGTAAAATAAAGTAATTATTTTGAGGTTAAAAAGTTTTGAATGCTCGTGACATTAATTTACTGTTGCAGACTATTTGAACAACGTGAACAAAGTGGACATTGCTCATTGAGAAGCCTACCAAAACCAGCGCAGTCAACAATTTGATTCAAGTTAGATTTGTGTTTTTCTTGTGAGCAGATAAGTCTAATTTTTTCGTAACCGATGCTATGTAAAAACATTAATATCTCGGTTTAAAGTAAAATTCTGTAATTTTCGTTGCGTAATGTGTTCTATGTGAAATTTTGGAGATGAAACATATATCTGAATGCTTGAATTCACGCCTTGTCAAGTGGTCTATTCAACTGGAGATTTCATTTGAAGTGCTCAAAATAATGTAGGCTAATGCTTCTTGAAGAAAATGACCCTCCTTCTACAGCTTTAAAAGTAAATCCATGTTTGATATTTGTTCCCAGCGCTGACAGAGTAATGCACTTCCAACTACTGTACCCCATAGAGGTCCAAAGAACAAAAAAAGATCTAATTAAACTGCTCATGGAAGAAGAAGTTCCGTCTAGTAATCAGAAATCACAGCCTAAAATCTCTGCAGCTTCTCCTGAACCATCTGTAAGTGTACAGGTAAAAATATACGCAGGGCATAATTTCTCTACTAGACGCAGAGTCAACTGATCAATTCCCGATTAATATGATAGATATGTTGTTCCTGCATGAAATAAGCTTGAGCGCCAACAATTCTCTGCCTGTTTAGCATATTCCTATTCTTATTCATCCAATAATCGACTTGTAACTTCATTTTATTCTTGCTAACTGAAAGAGAGGTTACTCAAGATTAGAGTAAACAATATGCATCAAGTAAACTGCAATTTCTGAATATCAAGAGACAGTTTGCTCATTTAGGGTGCATAAAAATTTATCATTTTTATTTGAGAAAGATCAATATTTATCACCCATACCGGAGAGCAATATATCAATGGCTCAAGTCGAAAAATTTGTGTCTCAGATTGTGATGTAGTAAGTGTCTGCGTGTTGTCTGCCCTTAGTTTATTTTTTTCAAGGAAAACTAGCCAACAGTTTCAATTGAATTTCTCTGTGAATTTTCTTCATTTATTCTTAAAAAAGCCCCCAAAAAACCAGGGAAAAATTTTGCTTAGTTCTTTGTGAAGAAAGCAAAAGAAACCAGAGTTTTACATGTTGCAGTTGGAGTCTACCGCCAGTATAAACCGGAAAATATCAGGAACTTCGTTCTTTTTAAAGTTGAAACATGTGAAAATGCAAAATGAACTGCTACTGAAAATATTTTAAATTTTTTTTCTTTGTTGATAGAACGTTATTCCGCAGACTAAGAAATGTAAGTGGGTTTCAATTTTGCAAAATTACCATTTGTACTTAGTACTTTAACTTGAAAACTGCTCAGCTTTTCAAATAAATAATCTCACTAATTCTTTTATTGATTACAATCTAAAAGCAGCAAAATTTGGAACAGAAATCGCACAGTGGTGCTCTTGTCATTAATTGAATTGTTTGAGCCAATCTTGCAACCTTGGAATGAAGTTGCGTTCCTTCGTCTGGAGAGCAACAAAAAGATCCATCTTTTAGGAAAGTTTTAAAGAGGAGAAAGCATTTTTTTTTCCAAAACTTTTTTTCTGAAGAAGAAAATATTTTTCAACCATGTTTTTGATGCTTTGCTGATTTATGTATCAAATGATTTTAGGATTCGTTATCAGCACCCAAGAAGCAAGAGGATAAAGTCAAAAGAGCTGACCAGAAAAAGGAAATTCCTTTGAATTCAAAATCTATTCAAAAGAAGCAAGAACTTGGGTCTAATGAGGAGAGCTCTGAAGCAGAGGTAAAACTTTAATTTGCCACTTCTTCATTAAATAATTCAACTTTGGGATGTTTATGTTTATCATAATAGCATTTTCCATGCACAAAAACCAATATTTAGGGTGTCTAGCAACCATGGAAATAGGAAAAGTCAAGGAGCCCTGCAGTGCTCTCTCCGAATTTGTAGTGAATTATTGCGTCAGGGATTTGAGCCCCTATTTATCTGCACTGGTACTTTGTATATTTGAGCATTGTCTATCTCGATTCAGGAAAAAATGTCTGAGAGAAGGAAAATCTAAGAGTCAAGGGAAACCTGAAAAGTTAGGGAGAAGAAAAAAAAAATTTACAAGACACCCTGACAAAATTACCAAGCTGAATGATGCTCTCCACAATAAATTACAGCACTCAGCAATTAATTAGCTGCAAAATGTGTCTATTGAGCGAAGCAATAATTCATTGAAATCACCTTCTTTTAATGACCTCAAAAGTTTCGAAACGGATTCAAATCTGTCTTAAAACTTAGGTGTTGCGTTCCCATTTATCTTACGATTTTCGGTCGCAGATAATACTTGTCCCTCCAATATACATTATTATGTATGGTTAATCACCATTCTATTTCGACAGTGAAACTCCCAAACCATGTATCCGGGTTTGCGACGTTGCAGACTTCCTGTTACGCATAATTTTTTAAATGGAGAACTACTCAACGTGATATGATATATGATAAAAATTGTTTAAAATTTCGTTACACACTACGCGGTAAAATTTAATTAATGGAGACGCGTTTCAGAGCCTAGAATTCCATCATCAGTCAGTAGCGAATCAAAGTTGTTTTCTTTTTTCTTCCTGATCCATGCGCAGGTATTGGACTGTTGCCATGTTTTTATGAATTCAAACAGCACATTATCAGTACCCGCCAAGTATGTATTAAAGTTGTTTGCTCTGTGTATTTAAATATTTTCCCAGCCATCTATCCTATCTTTATCAATTCTTCAAAACTTCTGTGATTTTTCTTCTCCGTGTAAAGTAAATTCTGAGAGAATTTCTAGGAAATACATAAAACAGGAACGAAGTTTTTCAAACACTGCTGACAATATATATGGTATATGGGGGTTTTACCATGAATTTATAATCTAATCTGTAACGGTGATGAGTAATTTTCACGGGAAAGCTTTGTGAGGGAGCAAATAAACTCTTTCATTTTCTACCTACTCATATTTTTAATTTTTTCAGATGAATGAAGAAGTTGAATCAGTCCCTATGGTAAAAAGGCAGAAAAGTCCGGTGAAAAAACCAAAGAAGAAGAGGAAACAAGAGTTTGGACCGGACTTTGACTTGTATTATTCCAAAACTTTTGATCGCTTAGCGGATGAACATCCTGAGCTAAAAGATGAGGATATCGAGAAATATCTGAGAAAAGTCTGGCTGGCAATGAATGACACTCAAAAGCTCAAGTTAGTTGCTTTGATTTTTTTCCTGCTTTTTAGAAACATTTGTCTTTTGAAATGGAATAAAATGGAAAAAATAAAGAAAAAATTGAAATAATGTTTAATCCGTAAGAAAAAAAACCTGAGTTCCCGCAGATCAAAAGTGGCCACTATAAACTTTAGTCTTAAAGTTCAAAGGTAAGTAATTTAAGGGAAAAATTGCCAATATCTTCCATCGCTGAGCGCAATATTTTTGAGTATTTTTAACATAGATCCAATGGGAGTTAGATGGATCCAATGGACATCATTTGTAAGTTTTCCATTCAATTAATGTTAATTGGACTACATTTTGCAATTGAGAACCGCCATTTCTGGCTCATCCATGAAAGCACCTGAAAAAATATTTTCCAAAATTAAATGCAAAAAAATGGAATTTAAAATTAAATGAAAAGGTTATGGTGTTTGCTTTTAGGTGATTTTTTAGTGCATGTTGCATACCCAGTCTCTGAAAACATGCTTCACATGTTTCACAACTTTGTGAAATTTCATGTGATATTTCACAAAAATTCCCTATCATTCACATTTTTCATTTCACTTGTACAAACCTGCCTAACAAGATATAGGTGTTTACGATAGGACTACATTTTGCGAGAAGAAATTACTATTTCCATTTCTGGCTCATCCATGAAAGCACCTGTCTGCCTTGGGAGACCAACGGTAACGGTGCATTTAATGTTTCTAAAAAAATGGAAATGGTAATTTCTTCTCGCAAAATGTAGTCCTATCGTAAACACCTATATCTTGTTAGGCAGGTTTGTACAAGTGAAATGAAAAATGTGAATGATTGGGAATTTTTGTGAAATATCACATGAAATTTCACAAAGTTGTGAAACATATGTTTTCAGAGACTGGGTATGCAACATGCACTAAAAAATCACCTAAAAGCAAACACCATAACCTTTTCATTTAATTTTGGAAAATATTTTTCATTTTCAAATATTTTCTGAAATTTCAAGATTTTATTTTTACACAAACTGTTTGCGATGGACGCATGGATGATTTTTTAACGCACATTGGCTAAAAAACTCCAACATACTATTTTATTTTCCATGATTAATTCCAACCTTGTGTTTAAGAGTTAATTTCCAGACTTCGTGTTGTACGATTCGTTTCCCTTGTGAAATTTTGAAGAAGAAATATGTTGCGTTGTTAAATCATATCTTGTCCAGTGGCCCATTGTAGAAACAAGGGTTGCTTTTTTACAGCATGGGTAAGGGGAATATAGTAACATGATATTTGGCACTATTTAGCAACGTTGACGATATCTTTTCATGTTCCTTTAGGTACCAACCGCGTTTCGTGAAGGAAGTTTCTTAGGAGGAAGAAAGAGAAAGGATAGCAAATGATGAGGAAGGCGACCCCTGCCTGAAACTAGCGAGCATTTTTTTTTTTTTTTTTTTTTTTTTTTGGACCTTGCCTTGTGCTGTTTTTGAGAATACAACCACTGTAAGAGAAGATCATTTGCGTTTACTTAATTCGTGGATACCATTAACTCAGTCAGAATACGACAATGGGGCAAAGAGATATCTCCTCCTCTCACTGTCTGAAGAATTTTCACAGGTACAGGTGGTAATCTTAATTTGTTGTCTCATTTAATGATTTCAATGAATAAAAGACCGCGGAAGTTTAAGGATTGATGACACCTGTGTGTAATAGTATATTGGAGGAAGCCAACAACTCTTTTCATAATGTGGCATTGCCGCTGTTTGGGGTGATATTTTTTTGAAGTGGTGAAAAAGCACTTTTCACGATAACTTTCTTTGAACCCCATATTCTGCACTAAAAAATTTATAAATCATTTCAAATGGAAACGTCATCTAAAACGTCACGTCTTTTAGCGTGTCAGTATTTTGATAGGAAGAGTGTTTCATCGATTGTTGCTGAGAGCAATTTTATACCTATTCGAGGAACAGTTCATGGGAAAAGAGAGAATGTCATGCACAGTTAAGTTTGTATTATTTCCCCAAAGGACCATACAAAGAATACCAAAAAATTCGACACTATATCTAAATATCAATATTCTTTGATATGATGCTCCTTGCAGCCTCCAGGAGGCAATAACCTTTTAAAATTGAATTTTCCAAGTGTCAAACTTGAGCAAAGCAGAGCTGAAAAGTGAGTTTTTTTGTATTTTACACGCAACATCTCATTTTTGTCACAACATCGGTAATGGAGTAGAATTTTGTTTTCTCGCAGAATGGGAAGATAATGTAGACGAAAATAATCAAACCCCTTCGAATGATCCGAATGATCACAGTGTGCAGTACAGAACCTATACAGATATAACAGTAGTCTCACATCTCCTTTAGAAAACTTGTATGAGACGGCTGAAAAATTTCACTCTTCAGCCTCGTTTTTCTCAATATTGGCACTGATACGTTTGATTTTACAAGTTCCATCTTTCATTAATTTAGATATTGACTTGTCGAAAATGATTAATCCGAAAATTCCAGTCCATGATACCATGGGCACGAAGTGCAAACTTCAAACATCGCAAATTACATTGGAAACAATCGGGTCTTCGCACGGTTTTCTTGTGATGTCTTGAAACAGAAAAAATGACCGTCAATTCCAAGTTATCGTTACGAGGGAGAGTAAACTGAAATGTTTGCATTGCCATATATTCAATGAATGTCTGAATGTCTTATTTTCAACGAATTTCATAATCCAACCAATTATTATCAACAATATTTTGTTTTTCAGCTGTCTCAGCTTCTCTCACTTTTTTGAAGCATCTATCTTCATTTTTTAAGCATGACAAACACTCTGTAGCCATTTCCGTAACATCTTCATCTGGAGAACAGGTCTTCTCTTAGCAATTCAAAGTGTGAAGAAAGTAAAACCTCTCATAAAAATTAGATGCCGTCAATATTAGAGTCACTGTTTAGACAGTCACTGGCACCGACCGAATCAGGGTGTCTACTGTCTAGCGACGTGGGAAACCAGGAAATGTCAGGGAATCCGCAAAAATTCGGCATGTCAGGGAATTTTATTTTGCCAGCGATTTTCGTGTGAAGGAAACGTCAGGGAATTTGAAAAACTCGGATTTTTTAGAAGATGTCTCGTGAATTTTACTCTTGCGGAGATTGCTACTAAAATTTTACCAGAATTTCTGTCGATATCTTTTAAATTTTAAAAATGAGGCAAAAACATCCCTCACAAGTTTAGGAACCATATATTTTGCTCCATTAATTCATTATATTCTTAAGACATGTAAAAATCCTTACTTACATCTAATCGGTTGTACTGTGTCAAAAAATTATAAATTTTTGCTTTTTTGTCAGGGAAATGTCAAGGAATTATTTTTTCCGTTTGTCAGGGATTTTTGAATTTTGCCCCCGTTTTTCGGCCGTTTTTGTGAGAGAAATCAGGGAAATGTCAGGACATTTTTCTTTTGAAAATTGGTAGACACCCTGATAATGCTCACATACAAGAATATTCATGCGGACCTACCTCTATCATGACAATGGAATGATGTTCGAAAGCCAACTGTACTCCGGTCACAAGTCCAAGTGGGCCTAACTCACCAAGTGAGTGGATGTCACTTGTCAGCTCGTCAATCAAGTCGTCGGCACGGATTTCGCCTCGAACCGCGTACACAATTCGCGTTAAAAACGTCTTCTGCAACATAATCATCGGTCGGCTCAGTCATGCGTTTCCGAAAAACCAACATAATACACTGTTAGTAACATATATGGCTAAAATTTAAATAATAACTCATCTCGAATTGTAACGTTGCAAGTCTCTTTTTTTGTTTCAACTCATAAGAAAAATTCTCTCTAACACTTTTTTTTTGAATTTCCTGTGAAATCTAATGTGTTCAAAAAGATTTACGGAACAGAGGTTGTACCATCCACCCAAATTTTGGGAAAAGAAGGATAAAAAGAAAAAGAAAGAAAAGAAAGAAGGAAGAGAGGGTGAGAGAGAGAGGCAGAAAAGATGAAAAAAGAGGAAAGCAATGAAGTGTAATTTGCAACTTGATCTTAGACATGTCAACTGATATTGAACGAATTTTGATCTTGCAAACATTTCATGTAAGTTTCACATTTTTTCATACTTTTTTGGGACGTGAATTTTCTCTTCAGTTTTCTTTCTATTCTCATACCGATACCTTGATTTTCTCCCATTTATTCAGATCTGAATGACAAGACGGGCAGGGGAAGGGGGGGGTTCGCCGCTCAAAACTTCTGACAGGAAAGGGCGCGCGAAGATTTCTAGTTACGCCACTGTCTACCATCGGAACTGAGCCCCCAAGGAATAAGGAGAACTCCTTATTTCTTCAGGATTGAACGATATGGTGTGAGAAGCCAAATTATGGTCGATTTTTTTATCTGTGGGCTGATTATTGAAATTGATAGACAAAGTTATAGACATTAAAGATAGACTGAAAATGGAGGGATCCTATAGGTGAAAGCGGGTGGTTGCAATGGACAAAGGAGGTTGGTAATAGACCAACAGCAACCCATGAGGCACTACAGTTAGTCCATCATTTTCCTTTTAGTTTATGGCAAGCACCCGTTTCAACCAATAGGATTGCTCCGTACTCCCTAAGTCTCCTTTGTCTATCACTTTTTTATCAATTTCAATAATCAGCCTGCTGGAGCCCTAGGGGAAGGAGGAGTCAGGGGTTTCTCAGAAAACAGTTTCTGCTTATAACTTTTTAATTACCCCGGATATAAAGCCTAAAATAACATACACCAAAAAAAAAAAAAAAAAACTTTTTAATTAAGGCAGGTCGTTAGAAGAGCTGCCCTCAGGTGTGTAATTTCTTGCAGTTAGAATAATAATTTGCGCCTGATTCATAACCTATCACAAATTGTCTATCGGTCTAAAAATCAGATATTTTTAGTCGACAGGAGGATGGGTTGTATTCAGATGAGCAAAAAACTGACCAAGTTAAAGCCCTTCCTGTGACTACTTAAATAGTAGCAAGAACATTCTGGAGGAATAATTTGTCTCCGATGATTGCTTAAAGTTTCTGCTGCAGGATCTGGCTCCTGCCTGTATGAGTGTGCCAAGATGTTTTATAATCTAAGCTACCTGCAAAAAATTATACACAAAAAGAAAGGTTTTTTTTTTTTAATGATCGTTTATTTAATGACTGTCATTAACTGTTTATCCGAGGAAAAGTTCAGCTGAAAATCGTTTATGAAAATTATATTTAAAAAAAAAACTGTTTTTTATATGACCTACGGCCTGTTACCCAAAGGAGGCTATGTAAAAAATTCTAACATATTTGTGCATCCAAGACCATGCCCTTCAATACCTTAAAAAAAACGAGGAGTTTTTAATAGCAAACCAGTTCCAATGGCAGATGAAGCCATGCTGCAACACTGCCGTGCTAAGGAAGAACGCCGTATGAGCATTCGAAAATTATCAAATTTTCCCCGATAAAGCATGTCTTTTTAAGGAAAGTTATGCACTTTTTTGCTTGACATTTTGAGATATTTTAGATTAAACAGCTAACAAAATTGTCTGAAAAATTTGAAAACAAATATGCAACATTTTCCAAGAAAAATTAGGTTTAATTGATGGAAATATGGCAACGCCTGAAGGCTCATACGGCGTTCCTCCATAGCACGGCAGAACAGCAGATGTGGTTTTCAAGTTAGCTTTCGGTGTTGAGAGATCTCGTAAATTCTCCCCTCCCATTTTATTTTTTGAATGAGATGAAATCAACATCATCCCTTGAAGTTTTCACGGAATTTTCCTCGTACAGAGAAGGAAAGCTCCCGAAATCCTGAAGAATTGATATTGATAAGTTTTCTATTTAAGGGTGGTTTCGCGATAACTGAAATAGTTTTGTCGCCGCAACAGACAGTACATTTTTCGGTCATATTTTTAGTAGTAATGATAATAACTCGGATTTTTTCGCATTAATCTACACAGGGTTACGTGTTATAACGCTTTTCAAAGATTTATCGCTCTACTTCTCAATTTTAATGTATAAATGGCCGGAAATGTGCTGGTTGTTTCACTGACTTTTTACCGCGTAACAGACAGCACATTTTCGGCCATTTATCTGTTAAAATTGAGAAGTAGAGCGATAAATCTTGGAAAAGCATTATAACACGTAACCCTATGTAGATTAATGCAAACAAATTCGAGTGATTATCATTACTTCTAAAAATATGACCGAAAAATGTGTTGTCTGTCACAGCGGAAAAACTATTCCAGTTATCGTGAAACTACCCTTAAAACAATAAGTATGACAGGAACTCAATTATCTGCCACGTCTCAAAGCAAGGAACATTGTTTCGGAGCTTCACCGTCAAAATACAACTATTGCAGCTCCTGAGCACTCATTGTTGCCTATCTCATGAATTGAAGGATAATCAAGAAGCTGCGTTTGCGGCAGACAAGTGTTCGGTGTTCTCATGTTCCCAATATCCTTCAATGATCGGCATTGCAATGAAAATGATCACTCAAAATGTGGAAGAAATGTTTTTTTAATGATCATCTACCCGCGGGAATAGTTGTAGAATTAAGGGGCTTGGAAGACAAGGCGCATAGATGCAGTTTTTGCTATTTCGAGAAATACGTGTTCGAAGTTTTTGGGTCCTTATGGCGGAAAGAAAGTTCGCACTGATGCTTAAAAACTGGATCGAATTTGGGAGCGACTTTTTCACAGAAGATGCATTAAGACTAGTTTAACTTGAAATCATTAGCATCTCAATTTGTTTAAAAACTACTTTTTTGCGCCTTGTCCTCCAAGCCCCTCAATTGTTGAGCCTCACCTCAACATTTTTTTAGACGTCTATGTAAGACCAGAACGAGTAAATTCAACTATTTGACGGTGAAACTGCAGCAATGTGTATCTCGGTTTGCCTCGCAGACTTCCTGCCATACTTCATTTTCCACATGGGAAGCTACTAGACTTTATTTTTTTTAATATTTCAGTAATTCTTCTCTTCACGAGGAATATTCTGTAAGAACTTCAGGTCGGATGTCGGTTCGGTCCCTTTTTAAAAATTAAAACAGTAGCGGAGATTTCGAAACACCGCAACCCAGATCCGCGTTTTTGCAGTTTCGCCGTCATTGCAGCTCTCGAGCACCCGCTCTTGCCTATCTTCTTAATTGCAGGCAAATCTTGTAGCTCGGAAGGAAACGCTTGGAAAATTGTCACTGAGCTGACGATTGAATCTGCAAAAATAGAACTGGGCCTAATCCCTGAAAGAACCGTCAAAAAAAGAGACACTTTTTTTTGACCCTCGCAATAGACCACTAGAAAAGGTACGAATTAAAGGATTCTGATACATGTTGCATAATCAAAATTTCACGCAAAACACGATTCGCGCAACGAAAATGACTGAAACCAACTCTTAACGAAGATATTAACGTTTTTATTTCACATTGGTTACAAGGGATTTGAACTGCCCGCTTACAAGAAACTCAAAGCTCTACGTGAGTCAAATCGCGCACTACAACGGTTTCAACAATCTTTTCAATCGAGCAATGTTCATTTCCCACCATGTGTTATTCAAACTATAAGCAATTTGCTATAGATGAGCCAAAGCGTCAAAATTGAGGCTGCCAGATTTTTATATCGCAGAGATTGTCATGATAAACATTTAGCGCGCGATGTGAATCACGTAGAGCATTGAGTTTTCGTGAGCGGGTGGTTTAAATTCACGCATCAAGAATTATTGAATATCTTCGTTAGGAGTTGATTTCGGTAATTTTCGTTGTGCGAATCGTGTTTTACGTGAAATTTTGGTGAAGAAACATGTATCAGAATGCTGAGATTCGTACCTTGTCTAGTGGTCCAATGAGATCCGTGGCGGGCTTCTTCTCATCCTCAGATGACTACCATCACGTATTGAAATTTCGGACTGAGATTACGATCCGTTTTTTAAAAAGGAGGGGTNGGGGGGGGGGGGGGGGGGGGGCAAAGTCTCCGATTTTCACTCATGTTTGCAGGTACTCTAATGGCAAATTCGCGCGGGCTCCCAGACCACGTATCTTTATTTGCGGTGTCTCATAATCTACGCTATCATTTTATTTTTTTGAAAGGAGCACAAGTGGATTACATTTTTGTTATAAGGAACCACTATCTCTGGCTCTTCCATAAAAGCACCGTCCTGCAGAGGGGTACCAATGGCTTATATCGACGGTGAAACTACCAAACCACCAAACTCGTTTGCAGTGTTTAAAAATCTCCGCTCACATTTTATTTGTTTGAAGTAGACCAAATCAAAATCATTCCTTGAAATTTTCACAGAATTTTCTCCGTAGGAAGAGGAAAAATCACGGAAATTTTCAAGACTGGACGTTAAGTAGCTTTTCATTTAAAAAATAAAGTATGACAGGAAGTCTGCGACGTCGCAAACCGAGATACGTGGTTTGGTAGTTTCACCGTCGATATGTTGTTTCTAAAATAAGCTAGAAATCCTAAATAATGGTTCCTCATTGCAGAATGTGATCCGAAAAAGCAGGCATCATCACTCAAAGTTTACTCGGAATTTTCTTCGCACGGGGATCGCGGAAGTTTTTTTTATCTGAAAAATGGAGGACGGCAGGAAGTCTGGAACATCGCAAAGCGAGATACGTGGTTTGAGAGTTTCGCCGTCGATGTTAGCTGATTTAGATATTGAAGCGCATTTTCCAGTGATTCCCGCATGCAGCTATTTCTGCAAGGTGAATTTTTATTTTCTTATTCTTTTTCCACAAACCCCCGCCACCCCGCTTGCCTAAGTAGCATTTTACAATGTAAAAGCTGCAAAAAGTTGAAACAATTTTTTTACTAGTTGCAACAAAGTTGCAACTTTCGATCAACTTTTGGTCGATAAGTGCCGATTTCCGGCCCTCTGATCGGAAGACAAAGTTGCAAACTGCTGAGATTGCAAAGTTGCTGCACCAAAGTTGTTTAAAATCTGAAGATAGGCAACCAGCAATACTTTGAAGTTGAAACATGTTTCAACTTAATTATTGCAACTAGTAGCGACAATGATAGCTCCTTCGGGGTAGAGAGTAGGCAATCTGCACATCAATCTATTAGTTGCAAGAATCAAACGATTTTGTTGCAAGTCGATATATGCAACCTCTGTTACTAGGGTGGGCGGGTTTTCTCGGGGGAAACCTCCCTGATTTTTCTTCTCTGTGTGCTTCTAGAAGAAAGAAAAGAAAATGCGTCATAATTGTTGGTACCTGATTCATACTCTTCAATTTGGCGACGACGACGTCGAAGAGCGAGGTTAGCGAGGGAGCCGAGACCGTCGCTTTCACGTTATGCCTTAAGCTCAACATTCTCCGGTAACTTCAGTAAACCGTCTCGTCAATTTTTCACGGCGGTGTCACATCGGGAAATTTCCTATCCCACGTAGAGAGCGTTTTAGTATCATTCAATCGGAATGCCCTGCTAAAAATGGTGAGTGCAAATGAGTAGAAAATCGAAGTCATATGAATAGAATTTCAATTCATATGAATAGAATTTCAACTCATATGATTAGAATTTCAACTTAAATAAATAGGATTTAACACATATGAGCAGAATTTCTCTATTCACTTTTCGCCGACTCATACGACTAGAGATTTAAACTCACACGAGTTCAGCGTTGAATCTACCGTGTCCGATATCTCGGAAACTAGTCACCGCACCAAAAAAATTACAAGAGCAAATTGTTCTTATTTTTCAAAGTTACATATTCTGTCGGTGTCTCCTGGTCAAAACACCACTTTTGAAAAATGAAAAAAATTGAATTCATACCTACGAGTTGAACTTTTCTATACTCTTATGAGTAGAATATTCTTTTGATATGAGTAGGATTTCTACTCACCTAAGTAGGAAATTCTACTCATGTGAGTCGGCGAATTCTGAATAGCCTACTCGTCATTTTTAGCAGGGTGCGCCTTTCTTTATTCCTCGTTGCCTAATTTCCTCCCTTGCTTTTTTTTTTTTTTTTGCTGACCAGCTCCACGCTTCTAATCTTACAGTAATTGGACCGCGTTAAGCAGAGAGGAATCAAACATGGATTAGCAAACGTAGGTAAAGGTGTCGTTTTTCAATGGCCGGTTTGGCACTTTTGAGTACGGTTTTTTGACAAGCAGGAAGTTTGAATTTTCTATTATTAACTTAGGTACGAACGTTAATTTTTTACATCAGGTTAAATGGAAGTTATCGATGGATTCAACGTGATCTACGTAAAAGTTTGACGAGGAAACATGATTTTTACTGCCCAAGCAAAGAGAGCAGTAAGTGCAAAAATGAAGTTTTGAGAAAACTGGCTCACAATCAGAAACTTCTGACAGGGAATTTTTCTTTTTTTAAGCAAGCCTCCATTCGTGGTCAAATGTTCACTAATCGTCTGAAAGACTACTAGAAATCGTTGGGATGATTGAAAATCGACCGATTTTATTTCAATTACGGAAAAATGGAATTACTCATTTTCATGTAAGGCTATATTGTTAAGCAAGACATCAGCCGTAAGTGCCATCCTCTGCGTATTTTTCATGGTTGCGTTTCGTACACCTAACAGACACATTTTCAGGTGAGAAATTGGCAGAAGAAGGCGGCACTGTACTCGAAAGCACTGTTTTCATTGGTTCTCTGGAAGAATAATGTCACTTACGGCTGTTTTGCCTGAAACTACGCCATTGCGCACTTACGGCTTTCTGTATTGATACAATCAAGATGAATGTTGCTGTTTTAGCTATTCCAGTGAATTCACCCAGAAGAGATTAGACGAATATCGAAGGAAACTGGATTTCGAAAATTTGACACTAACTGCTCCATTCCTAATCACGGCAGTGCAGGTGTCTTATTCCCTGCTTCGTTGTTCACTCGCGAATAATTTAAAATCCACCGAGACTTGGATATTTCGGGTAGCCATCGGCAACGCTGCATATTGAAAATAATCCGCGTGGCATAGTGAAGCGAGCACATGTAATTTTTCGAGGGATTTTAATTACAATTTTTTGACGGATTCTTAAGACGACCCTGGAGGATGCAATCACGAATGCGTTTGCAAGACAGCTAACGGTCGTCGCCCGCGGATCAATAGCAACTTGTTTATAGTTACCAATCATCCGTCCGCGGCCCATACAGTAACTTCACCAAAAGTAGCTCCGCCGGCTGATTATTGAAATAAATCGGTAGACAAAGCGATAGTTGGACGTATTTCTACCAAACAGACCTATGTGGAGGTGAGAAATATGTGGTGTGCTCGTTAGTTCTCTGGCCGTAAGAGTGAATGAGAATAATAAAGCGCCCGTGACGTCAGCGGCAATGATCGAGCCCGGGCGCGAGGGGAGATGGTCGTCGGGGCGCTCTAACTCATGAGCCCTGTCCACAACGCTCTCTTGCCATGCCCGCGGCTCATGAATCCCGCATTCAGTTGGCACATAGGTCTCTTTGATAGAATGTAATATCCCGCTTTTCCAATTCTTCAAAAGGAATCGCGCCCACTGACCACATTGCTTCTTATGGAGATTTCTAGAGCACACCCCATATTTCTCACCTCCACATAGGTCTGTTTGATAGAAATACGTCCAGTTGAAAGGAAACTGGAATAATTACTATTGGCTGAAACGGGAAGTCGTAATGGGCCAAGGGGGAATGATACAACTGCACTGCCGTGCTGAGGAAAAACGCCGCATGAGCCTCCAGACGTTGCCATATCTCCTTGAATGAAAAATGAATTTACCAAGAAAATTGTGAATAATTTTCTTTAATTTTTCCAGGCGGTTTTGTTTTGTATTCAATATAAAATATCTGAAAATTTCAAGGAAAAATATTCTAAACTCCTCTCAAAAATACATGTTTCATGTGGTGAAATTTGGCAACTCTCGAGTGTTCATACGGCGTTTTACCTGAGCACGACAGTGTAGAGCAGGGTTGAACGGGTGAAATGAAAAATATGAAATATTCCAGTGAAATATTTCATGAAATTTCACAAAGTTGTGAAAAATATGAAACACATTTTCAGGGGCCGGGTATGCAACACGCACTAAAAACACCAAAAGGCAAAAACCAGTTGCCTCTCATTTAATTTTGCATTTAATTTCGAGAAATATTTGTCATATCTCTCTGAAATATCATGAAATATTTCACATGAAATTGCTATGTATTATTTTTCACGGAAAATTGCAACCCTGCTGGAGGGTAATAGGGTTTCTAGTGGGTTGCCGTTGGGTAGTCTAATATTTACCTCTATTGTCCATTGCAATCACCCACTTCCATCATTTGCCATTAGTAATTTAAGAAACATTTCCTAAGTTTCGTTTTTTTATCTCGAACGGTTCAAAAGTTAACTTGTTCCCGGTTAGATCTTGTTCGTTTATTATATAAAAGCAATTCACAAAAACCCCTTCTTAAAGAGAAAGAGAGAGAGAACAGATCTTAAAAATTGAGTGGCTAAATAAAGCATGGACGAAGATATTACATTAGGTATGGGTGGGCATTCAAGTAGCACAGTGCAACGAAAACATCGAAATTAAATTACCATTTGATTTCAATACCTACAATTGTAAATTTTTTACCATCAAATTGCAATATTTTTACATAATTTACTCGATTCATGCCGATTTTAAACAATCAACAAAATGAGCGGCATGTGTCAGAAAGATAGGCAATATGCAATGCAATGAAAAATTACAACTTATTTCAATTGTATTGCAATAAGTTTCAATAAATGGGGCCCCTTCAAATGGAGCTAGGCAACATACACTACACTCAGTCAATATTTTTACTATGTAATTGAAGACACCGCACAGCCTATAACTGGAAACCGCGTTTTGAGAAAAACGCATTTAAAGTATTGTTTTTGATGTACTGCGCAGACTTTTCTATGCAGGTACCATGTTTATGTGTTTTTGGGTGACCTAACCCTTCTATTGAAGGGAGCCGGGTAGATTTTGCGATACATTTTGGGTTTATACTCTCATTTATTTAATTTAAAAAAGCGGTTCATAGGCCATCATTACACCTAACAGTCATTTTGGTGGCAATATGAAGTATAAATCATTTTAATCACTTATGATTGACGCAAAATAAAAGAATATCGATAGTTAGTTTAGGAAGGGGTAACTAGCACCTTATAGGCCCGTTTATTGGTCGTTCTTGCACCCATCGATCCAGAGGCCTGACTTAACTCGGAAAAAAAAAGGTTTTTCGACCTCGAGCCGTTACCTATCTATATTCCATCTCTACCGCAGCATAGTCCAGGGTACGTAGAATCCGAAAAGCAGATGGGCGTAATAACGACCTAAACGCCTATAGGCTGTTCTTGGTGCGGTGTCCTCAATTGTATTCTTCCGTCACATTGTTACGGCGCAATGATACAACTATTTGAACTCTCCCGAATGCGTGAGGTGTCACGCCGCATTTGAAGGCGTTTTCAAAACAGCCAAGTTCCGATACCCGAATTATCGTTTTGCAAAGTTCTTATTATTATGTTTTATTTCCTACCATTTGTTGTTTTCAATCCTCCTATAAAAACTACTCATTTCCTGAATACACTTCCGGCTGGAGCGCATTTTAGCTATGCATTCACGACTACTAAAATGTCAAAGGAAATCGACAAGATTAGCGTGTATGAAGGCTATTTCAATTGTAATTTCCCGTCGCAGTTCTAAGGCGCAATGATACAACTATTTGAACTCTCTGGAATGCGTGAGGTATCACGCCGCATTTGAAGGCGTTTTCAAAACAGCCAAGTTTCGATATCAGGTTTGTAGTTTCGCAAGAACTTGGAGCACAAAATCAATAGAATGACTGATTTTACGAGCTAATGCAACTCAATAAATTTCTGCTTTATTTGACGGAAGCGTTAGAAAACAGTTCGGTCAGAAATTTAAATCTGGTTGAGTTCTGAAAAAAGAATACAATTCAGTGACATTTTGGAACAGATTCAACCAACAATTTCTTCGTAAAAAAATAAAGTGGCGGCGGAAATTTTAAAACTTCGCATGGCCAGGGCCGGATTTAAGGGGTGGCCACATGGGCCGAGGCCCATGGCGGCGAATTTTTTATTTTAATTGTAGGTACCAAAAAAAAATCGGATTCAGAAAAAAATAACAATCACAAGAAAAGGAGACAAAATCTCTCATTTTCTTAGGGAATCGTAATTTCTAATTTTATCGTCTTTCGGCGATATGAGAGACAGCACCTTTAATTAATCGAGTTATATTGAGAGAGAAACTAAACACGCAATTTGGCTTGGAACGGCGCGGTGCAGAGAGCAATGATGACGAGGACTTGAGATGTAAAGGAGAAGCCCTCGGCGCGGCGGTCGGCATGTAACACGTATTAGTGCCTACAAGAGTGCATGCATACTTCACGCATTGCGTCAAACCCAGTGCGGTTAGCAGCGGTCGGCGTGAAACGCATAACGCCGACAAGA